TTGAAAAATGTAAGAATAACAGAAATAAACAGCTAGGTTGAACAAGGAAGGTAAAAGGGAAATCATTATTGATGGGACTAACGTTTTATGATAGACAAGGTAGACATAATGGTCAAATGTATTTCTTTTGAACACATAGCATGGGCTTGAATATTTGGCTAGCTAGTATCTCAGCTATGCCCAGATGCCTTGATTTCACTCCGTTTGAGACGTTTGATTGAATCTTTTTCTGAGTTCACCATTTCCCCACCCATTTACCATGACTACACGAATGTACAACCCAGTTGATGACTCCGTCGAAAAGAAAATTTTATTTGTTGCAACTGTCTTTCTATTATTTCCTAGAATAATAAATATATTATTATATATTGTATCATATATTGTATATATTATATGAAAAACCTAATATACTCTCTTTCCTGGAGTACTGGAGATATATACACTGAAGAGTCAGTTGACGAAGAATTGCGGAGTCTCTGAGAAACCTTGATAGAAAATGGTTTCCCACCCAGATTCGTAGACAAAACTAAAGAAAAATGCTGCTTATGTCCAGTCGCCCCCAAAATGACACCAATACTTGACTACGAATTTAAAAGTTATACCGAAACAGAACTTTTCCATAGACGACTTTCTACGTTTCTCAGTAAAACATACTTCACAGCCAGCCTATGACCAACATTCTCCTGCAAGAAACTATTCAGCCAGTTTCTGAAAGACAAGCGGCCACTTGCTCGCGTGGAGCCAAGTACATTGGTCGTACCATGCGTCCGTTTGTAAAACACTCTTGAAAACACTATCCAACATGATTAGCAAAGGGAATACTAAAGGGTGTAAACAGTTTGGTAACAGAACGTCTAGTGAATTCAGGACATTCAGCTCCATTTGAAAAGTCGTCCATAGTCATAAAGAGGATCCGAGCAAACGTATCAAAGGGAGTGAAATCAAGGCATCTGGGAATAGGTGAGTCACTGGCAGTGTAAAAACTCAAACCCATCCTATGTGTTCAAGAGAAATACATTGAACCGTTGTCCCTACCTTAGCCATCATAAAAATTCAATCTCATCAGTAATGATTACCCTTTTTCGGTGTATGCCACTGATAAAATTTATCGGTAGTATCTTAGGTGACGTTCATCAACATAAAATCATCAAATAGAAGGGAGATAGATTTGATATCAGAAAAAGCAAATGATAGAGCGTTGCGGAGATACATGTGAGACGTGAAAGGAACAAAAAGAAACACGATATGAAGGAAGACCAGAAGTAGCCCAACACTGAAACTCTGTGCAAATAGTGATTTGAAGGTAAGGTGTACATAATTTAGGTATATAGCGATACCAAAATCTCAATAAACATTCCTTAACCGAGTGTCTTGTCTTCTACCTTTACACTAGTACCTTTCTCATCCAACTTTTATGGTTATTTCTGTTATTTTTACGGTTTTAATTACTTTCTACATTACCGAATTTGTTTGCTGCTTTTTTCCCCATAAATCCGGAATTCCTACCTATTTTGTTATTACTATGTCCTTAATCCATAATTGTACAAACAGTCAAGTTTTTCAGTAATTATGATCGTATTATGGCTTTTCTACCCGATCTTTCTGATTATTACACTTTGTAATTGTATTAATTTAACTTTTGATCGGACATAATTCTGGAAGTTTCTTACACATTTACTACAAATACGTGAATGTTCAACCTAGTTGATGACTTTGTTGAAAAGAAGATGTTTTGTTTGCTGCAACGGTATTTCTAATGATTCCTATTATCTAATGTGCATATTCCGTAATTACAATGTCCTTACTTTACGCTCAAATAGCATGGTGAATAACGTTTCGGGGTAGTCACTATAAAAAAAACAATATCACGCCAATCCTGAGACATCGTTCAAGTGTCTGTGTTCGGAGCCAACATGACAACTGAGACCAGACATTTCCGTCGAGTATAATTAATCAAATAGCAAAATTAACGTATGATTTATGTGTTTTTGTCTGGAAAGGTGTTGTTTACTATCGTCAGAGACAGTATTGTTTTCATAAGGAAAGAATATGGGCCATGTGGTAAACAGAGTATAGTTCTATCATCATAGAATTTTTTTACCTGAAATTCAAGGCCTTTATATGATTATGAATAGCAGTGAATTGTTCTGAAAGCGTTATCAATAAAGTATACTGTATCACTGTGGGATATGATGGTGATATCATTAATGTCTCAATCATTAAATGGGCTAGACTTGTATATTCATCTATTTCTGAGATATTTAAACTCTGAAATTCACTCATGATAACCTGTAATCAGAGCTTATCCACGTAGTGAATTCAAATATGTTACACAAAAGAAATGAAACTTCATGTGAGAAATATTCTTGTTGATCATCTGAATGTCACCAGGGTCATGTATCCAGTTCAGTCACAAAGTTACGTGATTCACGGTCTCAATGCCCTTTGAAATGATGTTAGATTGTTGAAGGCAGTCGTTTTGAAGCAATGGATGACGATTTCGTGAATGTTGACAATATTCAGCAAGGTCTGTCTAAAACCTTGCAGGAACTGTCTTCTTGGAGATTCTATCGCGTGTGGTGAAGTCAAAGACGTTTCCACTTAGAGATATTCGGACTCACAGCTGACCTCCTATAATACTGAAGTGAATACATCCATTGGTTACTTGGGAGAAACCAACACCATGCATCTAGTCCCTGGTACTGGATTTGACTGATTACTACCACTCTTGTAGATCACATAGACGAGTAGAGTTACTTCAGGATATATAGTTAGTGGAAATTGATGTTACATTCACAGAATCATAATGATGCCACATGATGTTCATATGTTCCGTTGTATTGAAATACATATAATTTTTTTACGAATTTGTAAGGAATAGTTTTGTTTTCTTCATGTGAGGTGCTCGCTAGTGACTTGCTACAGGATGGAGTTTCCTGCACTTCTAGTGAGAAGTCGTGACCAGTGAGGTCCATCCAGTCAAGTGTGAGGATGGATTTCCCGCCGATGACATTGGTTGTGGTCGCGCTAAACCACGAATTGGTGGAAGTTAGAATTCATTACCTGACCACTGAATTGGGTCCCAATGGGTGAATGGTATACGACATCGCCTTGTAACCGGAAGGTCTTCAGTTAGAACTCCCTGCTGTGGGTGCGTACTACCGATGATTCCCAATCTGTTGGAATGAAACAGCTGTCCAGTACTCTCTGGCTGGTTTTCAAGGGTTCTCTAAATGATATCAATCCGTGATCAACTCGTAAAAATGAAACTAATCTTTAAAAACCAACTGTGGAAAATACATATAATTATAAGTTTATGCGTGGGTGGTACTTAAAAAATCAGCTCAGCATACGAAAATAGTTGAATGCCTAATGTTCTTCTACTGTTTCTTTATCGTTTATATCATAAAACCTTCCATAAGATGATGATGGTTATAACCATCTTAGATATCCGTGTGTTTTCAAACCTGGCTTTACCTTCCTTAAATATACTGCTTGATATAAAATCGTGGAAACTAGTATGGTTAGGGTGATCATAGTTGTTGTCTCTCTACTATAAACGTGATTCATCTGTTAGATGACTTTCACCATTTTCACTTTGTTGAAAATACATTCTAAGCTGGCGGTAAAGTTTTATCTACACAAGAAGGAATATATCCGCGAGATTATGCCAATTATTATGTCAGTCATTCTTTGATTTCTGAGTGGAACATCAGATCTCAGTACTACATCTTGATTTAAATTTGTTCTCTGACGTCCATTTTAGATGGCCCTAGAACTTTCCACGACCTTTCATGTCGCATCACTTGTTCCCTACCATTGAAATATCGGAATTTCAACTCGTCACTCCCCTTTCGACCTGTACTCGTGGCCTGCTTGACGTGTGGTGCTACTTGAATACCTCCTTAGTGTTTAAACCCAATCCACCTACATTCCCTCTTGCATACTTGTATGGATAGAAGGTTCTTCTCTGGTGCTTTGCGCGCCTCCAGGTTTACTTATCGTTTGTCCTTTCTGTACTTTCATTATCTGACCTAGTGAATCAAAACGGAGAGGGGAGATATTGATGTCAATTTGTCGGAAATGCTTTCAGTGACCTCCGCGCCAATTTTCTGAACCATACACTCGAGATTCTATCCACAACCGACACACTCCTGAATCTCATTACGCCGGTAATAGGACCGGTAAAGAGGGAAGTTTGCGCTGGGCATGAAGCTAGTAACCCCACCCTGTAAAATTAAACACCATTGTTACCGAAACTTCAAGACCCTAGCTTGAAGCCCTATGTTCCACACTGGAAGCGTTAAGGAATCAAATAATAAATTTTAAAAAATAAATAAATGCAGTAGCACTGACTTGAGAATAGTGTAAAAATTCGGATCTTGTTTCTTTTACTAAGTGAATTTGTTTCGAAATCTTGTTCAAATCTAAATCAACGCTAAACAGTTGCTATGTGACATGTCGTGTTATTTAATTTATCTCCTCACCTTATACCAGTTCATCTTTTCATCTTCCTAAATGGAAAGTAGATAAACTCAGTTAAGTAATATGTGTGTCTGTAGTTCAGTGGTGCAATGCTCGGCAGCCATGTGGGTTCGATTTCCAATAGACACAGTCCTAAAACCCGCCTGGTTCACTAGCCGCTTGTAAGCTCAGAATAGAGGTAAAGTTGTGTATGCGTCTGGCAACGGTATAGGCAATACCACTATTGAACCTTGAAAAGTTAAAAGCCCTATGCTCCATTCGGAGAGTGAGAAATGAATAAAATTTGAACGATACTGATTGCGAAAAGTGTCTTCCCCTCTCCAATTCTCTTCGTCCAGGAACTTAATGTCATCGTGCAAAAGCGCCAGAATTCTCAAGTGAGTATTGTTTAATTATTCAAGCAGTTTGCTTGCCACTAATTATTTCTGCTCAGTTATTCAACCAAATATTGAATATTAACTGCTTGGTATTATTGACTGAATCCTTTTGCCTTGCACTTTCTTTGTCTATTTCAGACATTTTCCACATTACCACCATCAGATGTTTATGATAACATTAAAGGATATCTTGATAACAAAACTGAAGCGAATTTTCAATTGATGTGTCTGGAACTTTATAGGGTAGTGGCCGAGTCAAAGAATCATTCAATGGGGCATGGACATGAAGTGAGTTTATATCATAAAAGATTTATCCTTATTCATTGTCAATGAGTTTTAGTTACCTTAAAATTATGTAACAGCAGTGTGGTGAGATGCGTATTGTCGGTATTCGATCAAAGCAGTCCTTACTTTCTAGTCAACTGTGACATAGAACAGAGTCGAAGAGGGTGTTTTTAGCAGCCTCCTTTCATACCTTCTGACAGTAAGAATTTTGAAACAATTAGTTCCATTTATGAATCTAGACAAAGCAATAAGAAGACGTAATTTGTATTGTGTATTTGCGCAACATATTTCTATCGCATTGATCACACACGGACTTGTCATACGAGCATGCATACGAAAATAATAAAGAGTTATGGCGTGAGAAAATAGATTTGGGTCAAGTTAAAAGGACATATTAAAGGTTGAAATGACAAAGAATATCACTAAATCAATTAAGAGAGGTAGTAATACTTCTACCCTGGTGTCAAAACAATGTTTAATGTAATAACGAATTGTTTTTGAACACATAAGGTGACTTAAACTTCCTAATTACCAGCTAGGTCTTCCACAAACTTTAGGATGCGCCCTTTCTATGGATAGATTTAAAAGATGTGTAAACATCAATTTTGTGTCCTGTCTCGATAACATGTTTTGCAATAGAAGGGCTAGGTTTCCTGTTCTCACCATTAATGGGTTCTGAAGATTCTGTTTGTTTCTGGAGCCATTTAGGAATGTGCTGTGAAGCCAGCCCTTACTTGCAGAGATCGATGAGTCCTCCATATGTATGTGTGTCCACACGTACATTCACGTTGGTAAATACAGTAGGATGTGGCATCATTTTATCATGTTCAAGGAGCTTAGATGGATATATCCACTTCACATTCTCAATTATTAAGATCTTAGCTGCATGAAAGATCTTTCTAACCACAGCATTCAATCTCTATCGAATTACCAAGCTGCTATGATCACCAGTATAGGGTAGCTTGATGTACACGTCTTTCTTAAGGGCAAGTTTGAGAGTGGGTCTTAGTGTTTTGACTACTTTATATCTCCTGATGAACTTATCTGGATAGTTATTATCAACCCGAGTTTGTGTCAACTTTCTTTCTTCCCCACCAAGTGTTTCTTCGGTGCCTATTCGTTGTTCGGCTTGATGAAGTTCATCTTCACAATTTGTATGAGCCTGAGGTCCAAAATAAGAAAAGACAGTAGTAGACAAAAATTAGGAGTAAATTTTCCACGAAGGAGATATTGTCATAAAAGAATAAATGTTAACCGACTTTCGTAATAAAAGCGATAGATCTATTGATATGCTGCCTTTTGACGTATTTGACGGCGCCTAGCCCTAGAATCCAGGATGCTCATTTAATCCTACCTAAGACTGGTAATCAAATACAGACCTTTCATTTCATGCAACACAGAATTATCCCCTTAATGACTAGGCCACGAAATTCACCTCTCCTGCAATGGGTATCAGTTAGTTTATAGAAATTTCTAGAGATTACCTTTGGTTACGAACACGCCATACTTATTAATGATTTCACTGATGGGATGTTATATAATTGATTTTTAGATAATCTTTCATGCTGCCCAACATTCCATTTTACAACAACCTTAATTTTTAAGTGTGACTGATTGCTTTGAAAAGTCGATTTTTACACTTAAACATTTCCAACATCGTATCGATCACAGTTGGCACGAATGAATGTACTTCTCTGTTAGTGTGGTACAACACTCACGTAACTTTAGATCTCTTAAAAAAATTCGAGTAGCTCTTCAAAGTGATGACAGTAAACTACTCCCAAATATTCAGTATCGAAACAATGTCTGTTCAGTGCCTTTTTCAAGCTTCATTAATCCTATGAAGGGGTTGAAAATATTTCTGCATTTTTCCATCAAACTTATCATAGCGGATTACGGGATTTCATCATGAGCTGACATCGGTTAGAGAACCATTGGAGAATCACCAGGGAGTATCGCCAGAAAGCTGTTTCCTCCGTCCTATTTTGGGACTCTTCGGCAGTACGCACCCATCGCTACAGTTCGAACCCAGGACGTTCTGGTTACAAGGAGAGCTAGTTTGTAGACCAATTAAGCCACTGAGACCCGATCCAATGGCCAGTCCATGAATTCTTACTTCTGCCCATTCCCAACATAACGCGACCACTAGCCAATGTCTTAGGCAAGTATATGTCTTCACACCCGACCTGCTGCACCTCACAAACCAATATTTGAATATCACTGAGATGCTCACTAGTGACTGGCCCTATTCAGGTGTATAGATACCTAGGTTTCTAATGGGAAGTCATGACCAGTAGGGTGCAGCAGGTCGGGTGTGAGGACAAATACTTGCCTAGGACAGTGGCTAACGGTCACGCTATGTAGTAAATTGGCAGCAGTTGGAATTCATATGCTGATCACTGGATCGTGTCCTAGTGGCTTGATGGTCTGGTCTACGAGCTAACTCGTCTTCTAATCGTAAGGTCCTTGTTTGGAACCTCCTGTGGTGGGTGCGTGCTGCTGAGGGGTCCCAAACTAGGATGGAGGACAGAGCTGTCTGGTGGTACTCCCTGGTGGTTTTACAATGGTTCTCTAACTGATGTCAGCTTATGATGAAATCCTGTAACCAATCAACCAAATCCCTACAAACCAATACTTGATTATCATAGTGGGAACAGAAATTTGAATGGGTCATTCTTTGCTAAATGCCGTTTGTTTATTTTAACTATTGAAGAACTGTGGATATATGTCCCGAGGGTTATATCTGCGATACACATTTGTAACAATATACACTTTAGTGTCACGAAAATGTATTACTACAATTATTATATCCATAAGATTCTGACTGCAACACAGAGCTCCGGCATTTCACCCTGTGCTTTATATTTGACTACAGGATCAACCATATGCTTGCATTTCCTGCTCACACGACCTCCTCCATTAGACATCTGGATGTCTATTCTAGTTCCACTCAAGGACTTAACACGTGATGTTACCATACGGTCTACCGTATCCTATCGATTTCAATTTTCTTCGGCACATTTGGTACTCACTAGGTTCTAGGTTGGTTTGTTGCCAGAAGTTTTGGTTAGTTATTCTTTCTGGCAAGCCATCTGACATTCGTTAAGGAAGAGGGAAGGCAGTCAGTCATTGGTGAGTGTCAGCAGCAGCTTGTTGGAAATGGTTTAAGCGACACGCAGTAGTAGTAGTATTATATCACGAATTAACTAAGTTAGTATTCTTAGTATTCGATCTCTGTAGCTGAAATTTCAACAAGCTTGGACTAGTAACCAGAAGGTCCTGGGTTCGACCCCAGGTAGGAGAGTGATTGCACACTTCTGAAGATTCTATTACTAGGCGGAAATGGCTTTTCACTGCTTCTTGGTTTTCAATGATCCCTCTAATTGCTGTTGGTCTGCTACGACGAAGTGGATCTAAATCCTCCACAAATCCCACAATCTAAATGAATGATAAAACCAAATTTCAAAGGTGATAGGACATCCATAAGTAGTTATCCCTGTTGGTACTTTTTGTAGACTGAAGCATGAAAGTGAAACAAACTGATATGATACAATGATTTCTAGGTATTTTAAGAAGTGTCCTTGGAGAATCGTGACCTAAAGAGAATAGTAACCTTTTTTAGGTCTAAATCGATATCACACCCTCCTAGTATCCTTCGGATCCTGAAAATCTCCACTGATTTTGACCTAATTATTCTTTCCTTCGTTTCTACTCTGGACGGCTGCAGCTTATGCAGTTTCACGCTAAATCCCAGTTTGACGGGTTTGTAAACACTGCAACTAAAAGCGCTTGGACACTGATTTATTCCACTCCCGGTCGATGTTTCATAAAGGTATATGAAGTGCAAACCTACCCTGTCTTAAACGGTCACTTCAATGTCTACCCTCGTTACTAAGGCAATAAACTCGGTATGTCAATGCAAGTTAAACGATGTCAAATGATAAGAAGCAACTGCTAAAGACTGTACACTTAGTCTGAGTGCTATACTGTCATAGTAGTCAGTTTTACGAAGAGATAATGCTATTCCGAGATCCCAGTCATCGGTTAAATACTCCGTATTCCTACTGATCTGCCTTCTTTTGTATACTTTTAGGTACTGAGCTTATATGGTCTCTGGAATATACGACCAAAAGGTTAGTTGACTGATAACTTTTAACCTGTCTTTTTTCTTTATCGATTCTTTATTTTTATAGTGTGATATCATGTCAGCTATGATGTGGTGAACAGTTACATTAATGCTGTTCACATATTGTATATATATATATATATATACATATTTATATTCAGTGAATACCTTACTTTCTGACTATTGAAAATATCATATTTTGTGAGCGTTTTATACTATAACTCATCTCTATACAAACTGTGATCATGATTCGATCAACTGGTTACACAAAAAGTGGGCGCTAAGTGAAAAGTAGACTTCTGTATGAAGTATATTTGTATAAATCTCAGGAAAATTATAATAAGTAATCCGGAAATTTCGTTTGTTGAATTGATTTGAACCCCTTTAGGCAAATGAACACATTACCTATAATATATAAGTATATATACAGAGGCACCTTGTCTAAGATTTTTGTCCATTTATATCTGAGTCATAGGTATTCACTTGATGATAGCACTAAAATTGTTAATTATCAGAGACAGCTGCAACAGCAACAACAACAGACTACAATCAGCATAAATGGGAAGAACCTGAAAGAAACAACTCCTTTTACCTACCAGGGAAGCATCGTTCCAACTACAGGCGGAACTGACGAGGATATCAAAGCAAGAATCGGAAAAGCAAGATAAGCTTTCACTACTCTCAAGTCTGTGTGGAGGTCAACAGCACTCAGCATCAAAAATAAGATCCGGATTTTCAACTCCAATGTGAACTCAGTCAGTGCTACTCACCATACGGATCAGAGACTTGGCCTGCGCGTCATAAAGAGCATCTCAAACAAACTACAGACCTTCATCAACAGTTGTCTTCGCTCAATACTCAAGATCAGATGGTCGGCCAGAAAAGATCAGCAACAGAGATCTCTGAGAGTGAACACACCAGGAACCGATTGTGAAACAAATAGGCAGGAAGAAATGGAGATGGATTGGTCATACTCTGAGGAAACCATCAAGTGACATCACTAGACAAGCCATTGCTCGAGTGGAACCCGAAAGGGGAGCGGCGAGTTGGTCGTCAGTGCAAGGGTGACTTGGAGGAGGTCATGTAAAGAGGAGATGAAAACGTGTAGACAGACTTGGAGCCAGGTAAAGACTCTAGCAGAGAACCGAACGCAATGGAGACGCACGGCTGAAGCCATATGTTCCTCTAGGAATTAAAGGAAACAATAATAATAATAATCAGAAGTCAGAATTCATATACTGTTGGATACCAGCTCAAGTGGATGAACGGTTAGAGTGCTTGGTCTCGTCTCAAGTTCAGTCCCTGACAGCGTCATAGCCGTTCACTCCTGAGGAGTCTCAAGCTAGGACAAAACACTCGACTGGTTTTCAGTGATCTCTTTGACCCATTTTGGTTTGTGATGAAAATCTAACGCCTGAAATTAGTTTATTATCTCTACAAATCCTGTAGTGTGAACATTTGTCTCCAGCTCACTGATGGCACTGCATTGATTTCCTTAAGTTGAAGTGGTAAATCGTGACCAGTGAGGACTCTCACTGAAGGTAATGATAAGTACAGTGTTTACAAAGTTAGAATTCATGGGCCGCTGAATTCCAGCTCACATGGCTGAATAGGAAACATGCTTTGCGTCGTAACCATAAAGTCTCCAGTTGGATTCCTGGAGGATTCATGAGTATGAAGTGCTGAAGAGCCTGAAAACTGCACCCCTTAGATTTCAGGGATTCCTTTAACTGATATCGGTTCTTAATGAAAATCTAACATTATTTTCAATTTTACTGAGATCTATACAAATATATAATTTTTGCATATAGCTGACCTTGACTGAATTGTTTACATTATAGATTTTTTAAAAACTATTTTACACTTTTTACTCAATGTTTGCAATATGCTGTCCATCAATCAGCATATTACAAAAAAATATGATTTCAAATGTATATACATATATACATTAAATATGTTGTGTAATCAAGCATAGATGCATGAAAAGAAAAACCATGTGAAATATTGTGTTTCCGTGAGTTAGTTCATAGGGATTTAGTTTGCTTAGAGTTGGATCACGGGTTGATATCAGTTAGAGAAGTGTGAAGTTGTAACTTGCCGGGTTCACCCGCTTGGGATCGTGGACAAATACTCACCTATGATATTATTGGTTGGGTGGTCTTGATGTTGTCACGAATTGGCAGAAATTGGAGTTCATGGGTTGGCCCAAGTCGAGTCCCAGTGGCTGAATGATCTACCAGCTTGACATGTCTTTGGAAAGTCTTGGATTCGAATCCAGGCAGGTGCATACTGCAAATGAGTCACAAAGTAGGGTGATACATCCCTCCAGTACTCTTTGGTTTTCAACGGTCTTTTAACAGTCCTCAAACTTAAAACAAGTTAAATTTCTACAAATTAACTCACACCAGCCTTCATGTTACAAGAACAAAGTTGGGAATAATGAGGATGTTCAGTATTAGACAAGATGGCTTTGGACAATTCAAATACATACGTCAAAGTAGTAGAACAGGGGCAGTCAGACTAGCCAACCACAAAATCCTAGCAAAATCTATATTGGTAGACCCGAGTAAGATAATAAATCTAGAGAATAGTTCAGCAGTTATAGCACTCACTACATGCAGTTACACACAACCATACAATAGGATGGATGGGATAGGATGACAGTTTTAAAATATAATATCACAGGGTATAGGGAGAGATTGATAACAGAAGCTTTGTTTATCGAATCAACTGCAAATAAGTGTAATAGGAATGATTCAACACCTGTTCACTCGGACACCTGGAAAATTCTACTACCCCAACGACGACAAATAGGAGAGGACAAAGAAAACTATGAAACTCAAGTTTCGAAGTCATGTGATCATAATTGATGAGATGATTATGAACAATAAATTTTGTTCGAACGTCATCCAGTAAATAATACTGTTTCACTGACTGTGTGATACATCTAATAAACAAACTAATATGGAATTACTTATTACAACAGTGCCCAAGTTTTACACATATGCTTTGGACAATTGTTTGCAAGAATCAAGATGGCTATCAACAACATTGTCATCTGGCTGAGTCAGTGGTACACAACTAACTTTCAAAGTCCTACGTAGTATAACATAGTCTTTTTGAGTAGCCCAATGGAGAATAAAGAGGAACAAAAAAAAAGAATAGACAGAATATATGAATTAAAAATTTGTAGAAGTTTATTTATACCAGAAAGTTTCAACTCGCTTATAGATAGTGAGTCAAATGGAAGCCATTATTAGAAATTAACAAGATATGAGACGATCAGCACGGATCGGAAGATAAACTAACACCGAAATAGGTATTATATCCTAACCCAGTGCCACTGATACCACAAGAATCATGTGACCGAATCAATCCACGCAAGTCTTGTTGATTTTTTTTCCTTCACGTTCCCCAGTGGAATAATGGCTTGAAGTTTCTGTAGTAGTGTTTATTTTACAGGATGGGGTTGCTAGCCTCATGCCCAACCTTTCCTCTTCACCAGCATTATACCTGGCTTAGCGAGGTGAAGGAGTGCGTTGACCGGGGATCAAACCCCGGACCATGTGCATGGTTGGCGAGCGTCCTAACCGCTCTGCCACCGACACACAAGTCTTGTTGATGCGTGAAACTAATTAACTAACAGTCTGACACTAATAGAGATTTAGTTGAACTCCATTCCATTAAGGCTATTAGTTAACCTTAGATGGGGAACTTTGCACTCTAGAACAACTTAATGCAGAAACAAAAATAAAACACACTTATAACTTAATATATAACCTAAGCAGCTTATTCAAAGACTTTTCTTTTCTTCTTCGTCTTCTTCTTCTCCAGTATGGATCGCTTCACTTATATCTATTCTTGTGATCAGTGCAGTTGGACTATTAGGCGTTGGCGTTGTACCATTAGTACAAAAGGTATTTTACAATCAGGTTATTCAGTATCTAGTGGCGCTGGCTGTTGGTACACTAACTGGTGATGCTATGCTACATTTATTACCACATGTAAGTTTAAAAAAAGTTTAGTACAGATAATATTTATCCTAAAGAAGCGGGTTTTCGACATGACTATGGCTCCGTTTCAAGTTCTGAGTGGAACACAGAGCTTCAGCTGAACCTTCCCATTTCATCCTGTTGTCTACAAGTCTCTCGTCTTTTTTCTCACTCTCGGTGTATTGTCCAACTCGTAGCTCCTAATTCCGGTTCCACTCTACCATTCAATTATCTCCTCAGCACGTGTACGATTCACCTGCATTTTATCCAGCATAAGTTTTGGGCGATAGGTCCTAGGTTGTTTCGTCACATTGAAGAGTTCCTTGTTGTTGACACTTTCCAGTAGGCAATCTGATCTTCCTCATAGGGTGAAGGCAGTTGTTGATGAAGGTTTGCAGCAGTCTGTTGGAAATGATGTTGATGATGCGCGCCCCAAGTCTCTGAACTATATACAAAGACCGACTGACTTGACATTAGTGCTGAAAATGATGAGTGTAACAGATTTTGAGAGTGGCTCCAAAGAATGATCTATCTTCCTCTTCCAATCCTGTCTCTGATGTCTTCATTCGTACTGCCTGCAGTTGGAACGATGCTGCATAGTGAGTGACTTCTTGTATGCTTCTTCCATTGATGATGACCGGTGCCTAATGTCGGTTAGGCGATCTCACCACTTCTGTCTTCACCATGCTCACTTTGTAACGACAGAAGACAAAGGCAAGGAAACAGATCATTTATAGAGAAAATCAAAGGTTATTTATAGATTTTTATGTACATTACTGTCAGCGGAGAAGCAACGTCTTCTGATTGGTTGTTTTCCTGCTGAAGGTTATTCTGTCATCTCTTTGTGGCAGTTTCTTATACAGTCCGTTGATATACCTGCTAATTGTATCCACCCACGCTAAGTCCGCTGTGACTAGTTGGTGATTTCTTCAAAATTGAGCTTTGTTATTGTTATTTTCTTATGATCCCTATTTGTGACGTCAACATTAACGTAAATTGTTGTTCACAATTTTGTCTTGCAGACAGCTCTCACCACAATAGTGCTGTTTACTCACGTGAGTATTTCAAACATTTACGACCTGCTGATTTGCGGGTTTCTGCTAAACATGAGAAATAGCATTATCCTCGATGACAGCTTATCCTAATACATAAGATGACCATTCCTTAGTGGTAACCTTGGTCCACAAAATCTACACCTGAACCTTTTATGACTGGTATTCAGTCAAATGTCGTGTATTTCTAGACGGAGAAAAAGAAGAGATATCAAAATGAATTGGGGTTTGCTCTTCAGGTCAGACAGAGCTGTGACACATGATCTACTGTCGATTATTCTTTTATTTCAAAATCATGGACGAAGAGAAAATATCATGCAATTAGCTCCGTTGAAAATTCTTTAGATTACATAAATATTGATTAAGGATAAAGCTATTCCTATCATTATTAATAAACGTTTTTCGATCTTATATGGGTATATCTGAAATATAATCACATTATTTTAAGGTCACTTGCTGACATAACTTCCCTGTATTTTGCTTTTTATGTTTACACCATCAGGCTATTAGTGGTGGACAAGGACATAGTCATGGAGAAGAAGCAACTGGTGAAGGCGACGGTGAACGTACAGCTATCATGAAAGGATTAGTAGCATTGGGTGGTGTTTACTTCTTTTTCATGGCGGAGAAAATTTTAAGTTTAACTTCTGAATATCGAGCTGAGAAAAAACTTGAGAAAGTGAGTTTCAAAATTCAGTTTTATTATGTTTATCATTATCCATTTTCTGTCATAGATCTCTGCCTTCATAAACACGTGATCCTTTTGGCGTTGTAATATAAATTGCCTTGTTTTTTATTTCAGGAACACAATCCACTTCATATTTATTTCTTTACATAAAAGTCATACTTCACTAGACAATTTCTTGAAAGTTATGAAGGTCGAGGAACTTCCTGTTAGTCACAGTGGTTATTTCCGCTTCGTATTACATACTAGCGGTCATCGAAATGTGCCTACCGAATATTAAAAGAAAACAGAGTTAGAATTTTAAAATGGTGTTCCATATTAGATAAGTTCATTTCACATACCGCACAGTGGTATCCTCCGTGAGATCAAAGATTCGCACCTCTGAAGAGTCTCAAAGTAGAGCCCGAGCAGACCATAGTTTTATGCGTCGGTAGTTTATTCCATATTAGTTTGTTTATTAGATGTATCACACAGTCAGTGAAACAGTATTATTTACTGGATGACAAAGTTTCGAACACAATGAATTATGGTTCATAATCATTTCATCAATTATAATCACACGACTTCGGAACTTGAGTTTTATAGTTGTCTTAGTTCTCTCCTATTTGTCGTCGTTGAGGTAGTACAGTTTTCAAGAGATCCGGATGGGCAGGTGTTGAATCATTCCTATTACATGTATTTGCAGTTGTTTCGTTAAACAAAGCTTCTGTTATCAATCTCTCCCTCCACCCTGCTGCTACATTAGATTTTAAAACTGTCATTTTATCTCATCCTATTGTATGGTTGTGTGTAATTGCAAGTGGTGAGTGCTATAGCTGAACTATTCTCCAGATTTCTTATTTTATTCGAGTCAACTAATCGAGATTTTGCTAGATTTTTATTCTCGGCTAGTCTAACTAACCCTGTTCTACTACTTTGACAACACCTGTCCCAGATATCTGGAAAATTTCACTGCCCCAACGACTACAAATAGGAAAGTTGTGTGATTATAACTGACATGATTATGAAGAATAGGAAAATTGTATTCGAAACTTTGTCATCCAGTAAATAATACTGTTTCATTGTGTGATACATCTAATAAACAAACTAATATAGAATTACTTGCTACCACAGTGGTCAGGTTTTACATATACATCGGTAGTTTAATTTTAGAATCATCACCAGCTACGCTTGGGGTCCCACTCCGGTTGATGGTTGACGCATTCCTGACCTGCACCTTGTTCACTGCCACGTAGTAAGCTCAGAAAAGAGGAGAAGCAACAAGAGGCTAGCGACCTCACGTCGTTTAAAAACACCAAAGCTAGTGGTTCTTAAAAGATTGAAGCCCTGTTTTTCATACAAAACGCATGGCTTGAAAAAATCTAACTGACTGGGATGTTGGTCAGATGACAAGTTGGTATTATCTGTCGTTTTAGAGGTATATTTTGTCAAAAATCACTACCACATGATATACTATTCTACAGCATGGAGCTGTTGACACCTGTTTATTCAACGAAACTGAAGAGGATCACGTTACAAGACGATTTTATTATAAATAAACCTCCTCTCCAACTCTCTGAAAGGATCAATAAGAATAACTTAAAAATGTTTCATGGATCATACTCATATCAGTCTGAAACCAAATAAAACTGTTAATTTTGTCATTATGTGTTCGTCCCGGAAAAAAACTTAAATGTGACATAACCTTGTATATTCCTTTTGGTGACAGGAAGATCGTGAAAGAGCTTTACAGAATCTACCTGTAGCACCTGGAGGTCGTCGTCTAAGTTCCGTAAGAACATCATTAGTGCCAGGTGGACATCTACCCGTCCCAGGACAAGGACAAGGAAGACGTCTGTCTCAGTTTGATCCAAATATGTGTAGAAGAGCATCGAGAGCTATGTCTATGGCTAATGAAGATATACTTGTCACAGGATTAAGCAGTAAAGGTAAGTTAGGAGTAACGTATTTAATAAAGTATAATTATATTTCAATGCTTTACACACAATGACAAGTTTTTGTTATTAATAATATTTCGAGCGAATTTACTACCCGTGTTCACACCACTGTTGGAATTGTTTTGTTCACACATTTATGATTTGTACTCATATATATAATTCATTTTTTGTTCATTCATTTTTGTGCACTCAGAATTATATTCCAGGTTGTTGACAGTTGTGCTGCTGAGTCATCCTTGTTACATGTATCCGGTGTGACCCTAATGAATATAGATTCTGTTATTAGCAGTCTCTCTTTTCATCTGTTCAAATTAGTTTTCAGAATACAAACATTGTTCCAATCGATATTATGGTTTTTGTCCCATGCTGCATGTGCAGCTATTGATGAATATTTTTCTAAATTCTTGTAAGCTTGTGTTCCTGTTGGTTGACCTTTAGTTAGGCGTTTATGTTCATTCACTCTTATTTTGAGTGATCTGGACGTTTGTCCCACATATTTAGTCGGACAGTCAGCACAAGATATTTTGTAAATCACATTGTTTTCATCCATCATTTTTATGGGATCTTTCAGTTGATTTATTTTATTTTTAATTAGATTCGTCGTTGTGTGAATGCCAATATTTTTGAGGTTTCTTCGAATTGCGTCTGATGTACCATTTTTGTATGGTATTGTGACTGTTTGTTTGCATTCTTCCATCTTGTCATTCTCCGGTTTTACCCTCTTTTTTATATTATCTCTGATAAATTCTTTTTGGGTAGTTGTTGTCGAGTAGCATTTTGAATAGGACGTTTATTTCTTTATGCTGGTCCTCTGGTGTTGTTGTAAGTCTACGTATTCTATCTGCAAGACCTTGTATTAATCCTCGTTTTACCGTGAGTGGATGAGCTGAGTGATAATCAAGGAATCTTCCAGAGTGTGTAGTTTTTCTTTATAGCGTCGTTTTTATGCTATCATCTGTTACTCTTTGTATCTTGCAGTCTAACATAGGCAATTCACCAATTTCATTCTCTACTTGCATACTGAATTTTATTGAGTCGACATGATTGTTTATGTGCGAGAAGAATTTCTCAACATCGTGTCGTCTACATATCTGCACCAACATTTCATTGATGACCTGAATAGTTTAAGTGAATTTTCTTCCCAATAATCCATGAATATGTCAGCTATTATTGGTGAGATAGGCGATCCCATGGCTACTCCTTCATTTTGTTGGTATATTTTTCCTTCAAATGTGAAATATGTTGTTGTCAGAGAGAATTCCACCGCTTTTATTATCTCTTCTACGGATAACTGTGTTCTGTCTTTTAGGCCATTATCTTCTTTTAGTCTCGTTTTCAGTGCATTCATGGCCATTTGAATGGGTATTTTTAAAGACTGTTTACATCAAAGCTGACTAGTATTTCATCTTCCTCTATTTTAGTGGTTTTTAGTCGTCTCACTAATTCAAATGAATGTACTGTTCTAGCTTTTGAGTTGTCTATTGTCGGTCTTAGTATTATTGGGAGAAATCTTGCCAGCATAAACGCTGGTGTGTTTGTAGAGTCTACAAACGGTGTTATCGGATATCCTTCTTTATGCAATTTTATCTTACCATAAATCCTAGGCATATTACATGATTTTGGCATAATTTCAAACCATTATGACTTACCAATTACTTCTTTCATTTGTCTGACTAGCTTTGCTGTTTTTTTCGTTCTTTTACTTGTGATTGTTTCTAATTATTCCGTCATTAGGGTATAGGGTCCAGATTGCAAATATTCATTCATTTTTCACTATATGTCGTTTTGTTAAGTATTACTGTTGTGTTTCCTTTGTCTGGTTGATTAATGACAATAGATTTTCAAGTATTGGTTTGGTAGGGATTTTGTTTAATTCCATGGAGGATTTCATCATGAGCTGACATCAGTTAGAGAAGCACTGGAAAACCTGGGAGTACTGGACAGCTGTTTCGTCCTAGTTTGGGACTCTTCTCAGTACGCACCCACCGCCTTGGTTCGAACCCAGGACATTCTGGTTACAAGGCGAGCTCGTAGACCATTGAGCCACTGGGACCCGATCCACTGGTCCTTGAATTCTAACTTCTGCCAATTCACGACATAGCGCGACCATTTCGCAATGTCTTCTTAGATGAGTTACTGCCTCATCTTCAACCTGCCGTACCCTACTGGTCACGGCTTCCCACTAGAACCCAGGTTAACCAATACTTGAAAATTAATCTGATGCTCACTGGTGACTGGCCCTATTCAGGCAGTTAACCTGGGTTCTAGTGGGAAGCCGTAACCAGTAGGGTACGGCAGGTTGAAGATGAGGCAGTAACTCATCTAAGAAGACATTGCGAAGTTGTCGCGCTATGTCGTGAATTGGCAGAAGTTAGAATTCAAGGACCAGTGGATCGGGTCCCAGTGGCTCAATGGTCTACGAGCTCGCCTTGTAACCAGAATGTCCTGGGTTCGAACCAAGGCGGTGGGTGCGTACTGAGAAGAGTCCCAAACTAGGACGAAACAGCTGTCCAGTACTCCCAGGTTTTCCAGTGGTTCTCTAACTGATGTCAGCTCATGATGAAATCCTCCATGCAATTAGATAATAGATTTGTCTGCTTTTGTGTCTTCAAGTGCTTTTAGTTCCTCCTTCGTCACATTTTGTTTTTCTCCTTTTTTCTTGTTTAAGATTAATGCACATTGTGCCCGTAGCAATACTGCTTTTTGCTTGTCATGTCCTTCTAGTGCTGTTTCAACCACAGGTATAATATCTTCAGGTCTTAATCTTTTGTTACTGATATTGAAGTTCATCCCTTTGATCAGTACGCTTTCCTCTGCTTCTGTTAGCTTTCTGTCTGGCATGTTTACAATCCAATTGATTCTAGTTATTTGTATGTCATTCGTGGTGTTTGCGATCATGAGTTAATTGGACTTCTTGATTTGTTTTTTCATAGGTAGTTTCTTTGCGTTTTAGTGCAGCTTCTAGTGTGCTTTCATACTTTTCCATCGCAATTGCTCCTTTCAATTTTTCTTTTGCTTCACTGATATCTTTCCTTATTGTAAATAACTTTCGCATAATACCATGTAGGTTTTCTTTGATGCATATTTTTGAGGCATGTGTGAGCGCTGCATTTTCTTCATCAGTAGATATATAGGTGATTTTAATCTCATGTATACGTATTTTTCTACACTAATACCAATCCTAGTGCGTCGGTGTCATAGCGGTTAGGACGCTCGCCGACCATGCACATGGTCAGGGGTTCGATCCCCGGCCACAGACGCACTCCTTTACCTCGCTAAGCCAGAAATAATGCTGGTGAAGAGGAAAGGTTAGGCATGAGGCTAGCAACCCCATCCTGTAAAATAAACACCGCTGCTACAAAAACTTCAAGCCACTAGCTTGAAGCCCTATGTTCCACTGGGGAATGTGAAGGAAAAAAATGCCAATCCTACAATATATATGTGTTTATTTGTAAGAACTTGAGATAGTACACAGTTCTGAATCATGCGATTGATTATCAAATATGCGTCAAATGTTCCCTCACCTTACATCTCCATCTTTCTGAGCATATTTATTGTCTGGTAGGTTCTTGGTTCGTTCGTCACACTGTAGAGTTAGTTCCTTGTTGCTTATCCTAAGCATTATTATTTAGCCGGTGAAGGCAGGTATTGACGAAGGTCTCAAGTAGTCTGTTGCAGGTGCTTTTCATAACGCTCTGTCTCCGAACCACACACGGAAGCAGGCAGCAGCTGTACTTTCCCTCTTATTTTCCAGTTCTATCTGGGTAAATGTTCACCGCGTTTTTTGATTTTTTTAAAATACAGCTATGAAATCAATCGACATACTTTATAGTTATGCCGAGGAATATGATGAAATGACAAGAAGATGTTCAGAGGATTCTACAGCAGATCATCCGTTGGTTAAAAGTGAATTACAACTGGGCAATCGTGGAATAAAGCCTAAACAAGCCAGTGAAACAACATTATCAACTAAAGATGATAGTCAACACGATAGTCAACAATCTCAACAAGTCAATACATTAACAATAAATGTTCCAAAGATTACAATCGATGTAGAACAAGATGATGAGAAACGAGTGGAATCAAAACTGAAGGTAATTGAAAAACAAAAGGTGGGTTTGGTGTTCATTACTTGTAAGTGTGTGTGTGTGTGCTTGAAGGCAGGTGCTGAGAATAGGATATTCTTTCCGTCCCTTTCTGCAGAATCTCTATCAAAGTGACTGACGGTAATCTTAATGATACTAGGAACTATTACTCTTGAATATTTTTCGCCAAAATGTCAGCCACAAGCTTGTAAAGCCATGGGAATTGTCTTCTTGTAGACGTTGCTCAATTAATTTCATTTATTTGTGCTTTCAGTTTTACGGTTTACAATTTATTTAGGATAGTAGGCTATATGCCTGTGTTAATCCTTTCGATTTGTTGCACACAGGAGGTCAAATCTCGCCTTGAATGAATCAACGGATGGTGCTGATACGACGTGTTCCGGTAGGGAGTTCCAGTGGTTCACAATTCGATGCGATAAACGGATCTCCAGACATACACGATTCGACCGTGGTTTTTGAACCTTGAGGTGATGTCCTCGCAATTGGTTGGTGCTAGAAGAAAGAAAGAAATTAGATAAATTAGCTCCGAAATCATTTCTTGGGATACGGTATGCTAGTATTAGGTCACCCCTAAAACGTCTGTATGACAGTGGAAATAAACCCAGTCGACTTAACCTCTCCTCATATGAGAGGGTTGAAAAACCCTTTATTAGCTTAGTTCCTACTCTTTGCACCCTTTCTAATAAGTCTATTTCGTATTTGAAACATGGGCTCGCTGCCTGGATCCCATATTCCAAATGAGGTCTGATATAAGTCGGATATAATATACGAAATATTTCAGCGTCAAAGATCGCAAAAACCTTGCATATGGCCCATAATATTCGAAAACCCTTAGTGGCCGCAGCTCTACAGTTTGTTGCTGTTTTCAAGTCATGCTGCACAACCACTCCCACTCAGTGACCACTGGGAGAGTAATGCCATTCATTGAGTAATTGTTCACGTGACCATGAGATACATGTATAACTACACTGTTGCTTAAGTTAATCTCCAAGGCCAAGTGCTTACACCAATCACTTAACAAGTTTAAATCTTCCTGCAAAGCAAGTTGATCACTGTCATCATGTAAAGCCCTCCATATCTTGATGTCATCAGCAAACAGTAAGCAGGATGACTTAACTACCGATGGAATCTCATTAACATAAATCAGGAAAAGAAGTGGGCCAAGAATTGTACCCTGAGGAACGCCACTCTTAACCGATTCCCATGTTGATAAAACCCCGTTAACTCGTACTCTTTGTCTTCTGTCCTTTAGAAAGTCTTGAATCCAGTCGGCAACCACTTTATTGATTCCCAGACTACCTAACTTTACTAGAAGACCTGAAAGAGAAACCCTGTCAAACGCCTTGCTAAGGTCGATGAATATAGCATCCACCAGTATATTAGCATCAGCTGAGCTTGCCCAACTTTCTCTGGCCAAAAGAAGGTTGGTCAAGTAAGAATGACCTGCTCTAAAACCATGCTGTTCCACAGCGTTGTATCTATTAAATCTGGCTGTTCAGTCTGTTTTCCATGGATTCCATTCAAACAGATCCCTGGTAAGCAGTGCTCTGACGTTTCAGACATGAGACCCTTAAAAACTTCCTCATGATACACTAATAATTGAGATAAGTAGTTTAAAATTAAACAAAACTCGTGTTCCAAATCCATTTGCCAGGCCACTTGGAAGAATATCAGATATTCAAGCAGACAGCACATTTTTGATTGGACAATAGTAAGTAACTGGTGTAATGTTTGTGCGTTTGGGCGCAGACTGAATTCTATCAATCACGTTGACAATGTGGCCACCATGCTAGGTGGCTCGACGTCACAATGCACTTTGAAGAATTGATATTAGAATGGTTGGAGGCAATTGACAGGGAGCCCCGCTTGACCTAGGTTTCGTGCTAGTTGGCACTGACCAGTCATCAAGGCGTATCTGCAATCTTGAAGGAACTCATGTCCGCCCTGATAGAACTCAGTCTGCACCAAACAAAGAACTAGACACAATACACTAGTTACCAACTGGTTTCCATTCAAAAGTATCCATTACAGTCTAAAGGAGATCAATTGTGAGGCTGAATACCTCAATGGTAACAACTATGATTGCAGCAATGGGTGACATTGGTTCGAATCTCAGAAGGGAAATGAGTTCCTCCAAGTTTGCAAATAGGTCTTGCTGACTGGTGAGTACCAGCTAGCATGAAACCTAGGTGGAGTGGGGCTTCCTGCCGATTGCCTCCAATCATCTAATACCAAACAGCACATTTATATAAACTGTGGTCAAGATTTGATGAAATAGTTCCACAAATATGGAGTGCCAAGGGAAAATTAGAAATCTTTGAAAATTATATGTGTAAATCTCAGCGAGATCGAAACAGATGACTCCGAGGTTTCGCTTGGATGACTAATCCGAATGTTTCCAGGGTAACAATCAAAGTCAGAATATAAAAAGTCATATCTCGATCAGAATTCACAAATTATTATACAGTCTTATTAAACTGTCGAACAAACTATGTAATTTAATTCAATCTTAGAATTTCCCGTCGGTTGACTGGATGGAAGTTCTCGGTTTCAGGTTGAAATGTTGACTTCTTGTGAAGACGCTTCGACGATTTCTGAAAATGTAATTAGAAGGGCACTGGGTGGGAACATCATCACTCACCGCAGAATGCAGGTACATCCAGACGACGAGTCTCAAATAGGACGAAAAGCGCATCCTGGATTCCAGTGCTAGTCACCATCCACCAATTAAACTATGTAATCGGTACCATCACACAGCGTTTTCAATATCCGTTATCCTAAATACTTAGTGATAAATTTGCCTTATTTTCCGTCTGACTCAAATATGTCTGGACAAGAATTTTAGAAACAAGATGTATCCGTTGAAATATTGATATTTGAACTTTCATTGTTCACCGGAAGAAACGCTGGAATTATTTATTTCAATTTCGCTGACACTTATACAAATTAATTTCTACCTGTCTTAAAGAACATAGTTGTCGAAAATGACTAACCTGGTTAAATTAAAACCAACAATCGATGGGATAAATAAATAGCAAAATTAAATTTATTTTCAACATTTTTTCTGTAAACTACCCAGGTAGAATTTTAGATGTATAAGTTTTCTCGACAACTAAGTCTTTAATTGTGAGCTAATATGAAGATTTTTACAAGACTACTAAACGATTATGAAGCCATTAGGTCAATAAACCCTCCCGGAACAAGCTGGATTCAAGAAAGGCAAACCATGTGCTGATCAAATTGCAACTCTACGCATTGTCATTATCAAACAAAATATTGAATGGCAATCAAGCCTGTACTTTAACCACATCGACTTCGAGAAGGCCTTCGGTGGCGTTGACGGAGAAGTATTTTGGAAACTGCTTCAACACTATGGCGTGCAGTGCCCAAGTCTTTATCAAACTCATTCAACATCTGGCTATATTACAATGCCACGTGTTAGGTGATCCACACTGGAAAACTCAGTGAGGCGTTCGAAGTGGAGTAAGACAAGCTGGCTGGCTGCCTATTATCACTGATGACATTCTTAAATGTGGTGGACTGGATTATGCATCAGACTGTCCACAGGCAGTGAGAAGACATTAATACTCATGGACGATAAGAAGACTCTAGAAGATCTTCATTTAGCGGATGATTTATGTTTACTGTCACACAAACTCGAAGAATCGCAGGCGAAAACCAACAAACTGGATGAAGAAGCAGTGCAGCGAAGACAGGACTGCAGGCAAACATAGAGAAGACAGAGGTGATGGAGATATCCCGCTGACCAACAACAACAACCAGCACCAATCACCATCAACCGGAGAGATTTGACAGAGGTCACTCCCTCCACCTATGTAGGAAGCATAGTTTCAACTACAGGCAGCTGGAACGGATGAAGATGTCAAAGTCAGCCAGAGTTGGAAAGGCATGAAATGCCTGAAAGCATTTCAGAAATCTTCTGTACTCTGACTCAGCACAAAGAACAAGATTGGGATTTTCAATACAAATGTTGAGTCATTTAGTTCTTCTATACGGGTCAAAAACTTGCACTGAGTGTCACGAAACGCATTTCCAACAAGTTACAAACCTTTATCAACAGCTGTCTTCGCTGGCTCCATACTGAAGATCAAATGACCAGTTGGCCAGAAAGAATTAGCAACAAGAAACTCTGACAACAAACCAACCAAAAAATATGTAGGAGAAAGTAGAGATGGATAGGACATTCGTTGAGGAGGCTATTGAATGACATCGCGCACAAAGCAGGCCATCACTCGATTGAAATGGTAATCGATAAGTGGGTCGTCGGTGCTAGGGTGACATGGAGGAGATCGTGCTAGTTGGGAGAGATAAGAGATTATGGGCAGTCGTGACCCCAGCTGAAGAGGACAACAGAGAACTGAAGAAAGTGTAGATGTGTTGTTGAAGCCCTCTGTTCCACTCGGAACCCAAGTGAGTTATAATAACAGGTCAATAAACACCACCTAATTACAAGTCTTTTGGAAGCGTGTTAGTTTGTAACTCTTACTCTTGTGTAAATTTCTAAGCTCATTCTTTAGTCAATTCAGTCGACAAGTTTTGCTCTGCAGGGATTTAACTGATTTCAGTTTTGACAACCAACGGACTATAGTTAGAGAAGCACTGAAAAATAGGATTCAGTGTTCCATACTAAATTAGAACGTACCCCTCACCCTGCTGGGAGTTAAACCAAAAACCTTCCGGGTACGATGCCAGCCATTTAACCATTCAGCCACTGGGAAGAAACCCAGTGGGCCATGGATTCTAACTTCAACCAACTACTGATATACACAGCAACCACCAGTGGGGTCCATCTAGTTGTATGTGGAGTAAAATACTCATGCATGACACTGGTTAACAGATGCAATAGATACCGCGAATTGGCAAAATTTAGAACTCGTTTCCTACTGGATTCCATCCCCTGTGCTGAATGATCAACGGACTGAACTTGTAACCTTAAGGTCTTGGAGGTCGTGGATGCGTACTGTCGAAGAGTCACAAACAAGAACGAAACATCTTTCTAATAGTCCTCTGCAGTTTTATATGCTTCTCTGACTGAAATCATTTCGTCATCAAACTTAATAACTTTTCAGACGGACTGTTTGTTTGATAAACTTTATAGTCGCTATTATTCTGCTTTTTGTCATCTCTTGTGTCTACTACGTCTCACTAACATTGTTCGGTTAACTGCATGGTGAGTATACTACTGAAAATATAAGAAAGTAATATACAGCTGCAGTAATAAAATATTTCCTGAAATCTTTTTCAATTATTATTTCAAGTTACATAACCCACACACTTTGATTCTTTTGTATGAAGCAGCCAGCTGAATCATCTGATCATCGTGAAGAGGAAGAGGATAAGACGAATGCTAAAGGACACGGTCATGGTCATGGTCACGGTCATACACACGAGGTGAGTATTCATATTTTATCACTACAACAAGCAACTTTACAAACCATTTACTTCGATTAGTTCCTCATCGTCAGTGGGCTTTACACTAATGTATAAAGTTTTACACATCAACATTTTTTACCAATCAAGTCGTTGTTTCAGTTAATCAGTTTTAGGTATAGCAGGGAGGCGGGTGGAATTAAGAGGTTAAAAGTCATCAAAATATCAATTAACTAATAGGTGTTAGTAACAAGATATCTAAGTTTTGAAGGAGGAATGAAAGTTAATTAAAGAATTAAGATGAAATGATTCTTAGGCGTTAGCAACAAGCTATTATGCAATCAATAAATCTGTAAAATAATGTTAGAAGAATAGGGTTATAGGGCCAGCAAGTTTCCACTGTTCGTTGGCGGTTCAGTAGTAGTGTAACAACAGAAGACAAGGGTCAGGCAACAGATCGTTTATTCAGGAAAATCAACAAATATTTATAGATTTTAATGTACATATTATAGATTACTGTTAGCAGAAAAACACACTCTTCTGATTGGTTGTTTCTCACAGAAAGTTAATCTTTCATCTCTTTGTGGTTGTTTCTTGAATGTTAAATCATCTATATGCTAACTGAATCCACCTACGCAAAGTCTTTGTTCTCATTTTCTCACGAGCAATATTCGGGACATAAACATTGACGTCAATTACTGTCTACCAACTTTGGCTAGTAGCCAGCTCTCACCACAGTAGGACACTGTTCCACCTAGTTAAATGGTCCGAAGCTCGATCTCCGGTCGAAGACTTACTCCTGTACCTCGCTTAGCCGGTAGTGGTTCCAGTAAAGATGAAAGGTTGGGCATGAGGTTAACATAATCCATCCAATAAAAATAAATACCACTGCTACTGAAACTTGTAGGCTCTAGCTTGAAACATGAATGAAACTTGTGTACTGTGGTAGAGTATAATTCCATTATGGGTAAGAATTATTTTGATAAGGTCTCACAGTGTTGTGCAGTAATACTTACTGATGACGTTTAGAGCACAATTTATTGCTCATAATCACATCATATCTAGCTTGAAGTACTATGTTCCACTGGGAAATCAAAGGAATAAAATTAAGTGTTGGTTTGTAGGGATTTGATTGGTTACAGTACTTCATCATGAGCTGACATTGGTTAGAGAACCATTGGAAAACCTGGGAGTACTGGATAGCTATTTCGTCCCAGTTTGGGACTTTTCATCAGTACGCATCCACCGGGGTTCGAACCCAGGACCTTCTGGTTACAAGGCGAGCTCACATACCATGAAGCCACTGCGACCCGATCCAATGGCCCATGAATTCTAACTTCTGCCAACTCACGACATAGCGCAACCGCTAGCCAATGTCTTCGACGAGTATTTGTCCTCACACCCAACCTGCTGAACCCTACTGGTCACGACTTCCCACTAGAACCCGAGGTAACTACCCAACTTAATTAAATTAAATTTAAGAAATAGGAAGAATAGAATAACTCAGAAGAGCTATGTAAAATACAAACAACACAACAACGTCAAAAGATGGTTACAAGGAGAGAGGAAAAATTGTTTTTAAAAACTTGATACATATTATGTACAAATTTGTTTTGAACACACAGATTTATCTTGTTCAGATGAGTCCCGATTGCCTCTGCTGTATGTAAAAGTTGTACTCGTAGACCATGCCCCAGGGTGGGTGGGTGATGTACGATAAATAACTTTAAAAGCTTTGCTGAAGTCGACTTAATGTCCACTTTCAACTAGTACTGAGCTGCGTATAGCTTTATGCGGACCTTTGCCAAACCAAGATGGGAGGGGTTCAGAAATTCGACGATGAATTAGCTTGATCGTACACCCAATGTAACTAGCTCCGCAAGAGCAGTTAAACTAGTAAATACACATGGAAGAGGCGAAACAGGGAAGTTTGTCTTTATTTCGTGAACTAAGTATTGGTCGGCTAGTGAATATGCAGCATAGCTTAGCTGCATAGAAAGTCCTTTTGAAGGACCTTCTCAGCTGTTGTGATAAGATCTCGCTATTGACATCAAACGTGAATTGTAATCTTAGGAAAACTGATTTTTTGGACAGTTGGCACCTTCGACTTCTTACTTTCTGAGTTCATGTGTTTTTTCACGAATTCAGTCGGATATCCGTTTCTACGTAGTAGTTCACAAATATTGTCGAGTTCTTCATTCAGAGTCGCATTTGAACAGATAACTCTAGCCCGGCGAACCAGACATCTAACCAGATTACGTTTGCATTGTAGATGTACGAAACTCAGGAAGTGAGTATATTGTCCAGTGGAAGTAGGTTTTCTATGCAAATGTTCCGTTTGGTCGGTTAGTCATTAGGACTTCCAAAAATGAGATAGAGTCGGTGTATTCTTCCTTGGTGAAGCTTATGCTAAGAGTTGCTTTATTGAACTTCTTCGATTTGTCCTTAGTCTTACTTTCTTTCTTAACAACTATAAATGTTTCATTGACATATTGGCAATAGAAATCAAGATTATATATTACATCTTCAAGTGAGCTATTCTCTAGTTTTGCCAAGAAAAAAGCTGCTAGAATTGGGCCTAGTGGTGATCTCATAGCAACACTATCTAATTGTCTACACATTTCTTTATTGAACAGAAAGTTTACCTTCATTGTACACCTTAGGAAAGGTTCCTTTAAGGAAGACACAGGAATTCCTGTCTCTATACCTTCTTCTATGAATTCATTATCTATGTAATCAACTGTTTCCATCGAAGGCACGTTGTGCATAAGAAAGATACATCCATTGATATCATGTTATTAACATCTATTGGTTAACTGATGTTTTGATGACTTTTAACCTCTTAATTCCAACCCTTCCCTCTAAACCTAAAACTGATTAAGTGAAACAACCACTTGATTGGTCAAAAATGTTGTATTAGAGTAGAGTCAGGTAGGTGATGATGAGGAACTAATTGAAAAAGGAATATATATTTCTTTGCTCAGTCTTTTGTTTTTCCTAAATGCGTAAGTGGAAATTTGGAAACCATTTTTTCGTTATATTGAACCATCAGTAAATCATATCCACAAAACTATATGATTATCTTAATCGATGCAGTAAAGCTGGCAGCCTAGTGAATAATACCCCAAACTTCTACGTACGAGCATATTGAATCTTTCTGTTTCCTCGTGGGACTAGCTCACTGACGCTTACTAAAGAATCTAACTGATTTTATTCTACAATACGCAGTGTAGATTTAAACAAAATACGTTTATAAATCATCAAGTGTTCGGTTATATTTAGTTATGAAAACTTGATTTGGTAAACAGAAGAAATGTCATCCCCTGAGCCAACATTCCTTGACTGTAACATTCCAGTAGAGAAGATGTGTGTCAAAGTGAGGAGATGTGTATAACACAGTGGCAGATACTAAATGTATAGGTAACAAAAGAAGCACAACTGAAGCAAACAAGTGGGCATAATATTACAAATAAGTTGTAAATAAGATATTTTCGGTGTAGTCATGGTCTCTGAGCTTGATGAGCTCTCGATGACATCCTCAGTAATAATGTCAAGATAAAGTGATCTCTTCGAATTCTCCATGAGTGTAGTAAACTTAACTGTTGTTGAATTTGGATGTAACTGGGGTAAAGTTAAACAATAGCGTCCCAGGGGTGAGAACGCTCCAATGACCTTTACCGAATGCTAGTCGTTGGCCAATGACACATGTCATTATCATAGCACAATTATGAACGTTGTTCACTAATTAACGAGCGAATTTCACCTAGATCACGTTTTTAAGAACTATTTGGACAATGTGTTAATAGCTCGTTAGGGTTAGGATAAGGGTTAAGGTAGGTATTAGAGTGAGTGTTAGGATAAGGGTTACAATTAGGGTTCGGATTACGGTGAGGGTCAGTATTACGTTTAGGGTTGGAGTTGGGATTAAGGTTAGGGTTACAATCATGGATAGATTTAGAGTTAGTATTATTCAGTTTGTGCGTCGATGGCACAACGTAGAATGCTCGCTGATCACGCCACAGGTGGTCGGGGTTCGACGCCCGCCTACAGACGCACTCCTCTACCTCGCTAAGCCAGTAGTAAGACTGATAAGAAGGAAACATTGAGCTGGGCATAAGGCTAGCAACCCCATTCCGTAAAAATAATCACCACTGCTACAGAAACTTCAAGCCTCTAGCTTGAAGTTAATCTATGTTCTACTGGGAACGTAAAAGATTATGAAAAAAATTATTCAGTTTAATTTGTTGTATTATCCGCATGTTCCTCATAAGTAGTCGTCCATACTCTTACTGGAAACCGTAGTAATTCCACCAAGGGCATTAGGGGAAGACTGCAAAACAGGATAAGAGCGATAAACTGGTCACACAAGAAGCCCACCTTAAGTCACCTCGGTGAATTCGTGTACAGAAACTTATCTAACATAAAAAGTGATACTCCTCATTATAACTTGGGCGTACTTTTAAGTCATGTCAGGGAGAGATACCCTGCTTAGTGTGTTTTCATGCATTTTCTTGTAAATAAACGTCATTTTTGTGCAAAAGTTGCTTATTTTTATGCTTGGTTGCCTCAAGCTCACTCTTGCGTTCGCATTTATTGGGACGCTATTGTTTAACTATGGCATAACTGGTTGTCTAAAGAGATTTTCTGATCCTCGTGTTCCCCTGTATTGGTAATGATTGTATTGTTAACTTGATATTTGATTTCTTGTCTATTTGGCTTTTCCCATTGACGCGTAAATCTGTTTTATATCACCTTGTTTGTTGATTATCGATTCATCTAATTACTAAGATTCTAGAAATTGGAGTCGAAGAGGATGCCTACTGTGACCATTATAATGTTTATCATAACTGGTGATGGTAATCTTATCTTCTTTTTCTGCTGAATGGATCTTCTCGTCTGTATAGTACTGAATGAAGGGATTGTGTTGGCTTGTATGAGATACTCGTAACGAATGTTTTAACACTGAAGCCATTATTTCCAAAATATCCTTTATTTATTTGGTAGGATGAATTTTCTTGCGGTTTCTTGCTGCTAATTCGAAGAGAATTCTAGGGGTATCTATTATTTTAAAGACAGTTAACAGATATTTCTCTTATCTTCTCTTCAAAGCTGAAGTGCTTCAGTGTGTTTTACTTCTTTTGAATAATGTTCGTACACAGTTTCCTTTGTAATTTTTTACCAATCCGTTACAAAATCACTTTGGTCATATGCTTCACGAATAAAGCAAGACGGATCTTTACAGATGACTCCCTAGAAAATGAGTTAGGATACATCCAAAATACACTGATCCAAATGGATTATCCTAGTAGATTTGTAAGGAGACACATGAACACCAGGTAGAATAAAGAGAAACTGATAACAGTTAAAAAGAAACAAATGTTCATGAAATTGCAATTTAATGGGGATGTGGCTAGTGAAGTCTTACATCTGAGATTATCGAGAGCAATAAAACGGATTTATACTGCCACCACCCTTTGTTTGCCATTTACCAGCCGACCAACTATGATTGCTCAAGCAAAAGACAGGCTACCTAGATGTGCCACTTCTGTGTGTATCTACGAATTTAGTTGCTTCTGTGGAGAGAGCTATATAGAGCGAACAACTAGACAGGTTAACAAACGCATCAATGACCATCATTCTTCATGGTTCGCAAAAGGTCAAATAAAATCCATACGAATTTCTATTTTGGCTCATTTGATTGATAGCTGTCACCAAATGGACAGAAATTGTGCCTTCAAAGTTATCTCGTGCATTCCATCGAGTCTTTCAAACGGAATTCGAAGCCGCCTTTTACACATAGCCGAAGCTATGGGGATTCGAGAGAACAATCCTAGTCTTTGCATACAAAAGAAGTTTGTTCTACCTTTGTCTCTCCCTTGCTTGCCTAAGTGAATTCTAATCAGAACCCTCCCACCCTTTCTTATTTCCTATTCCCTTCGTACTTTTATGATATTTATTTAAACTCTAATTATCTGTCCAATTCACCTTTAATATTACGTAACTTTTAAGATTTGACCTAATTTATTTATTGAATTGTCTACATATACGCATATTACTACCTTCGTTATTCTTATCGCCACCTGCATAAACCTTATCGTTATTTTGTTATCATCGTTATTAACGACGTTCAAAACATTTACCACATTATTATTATTCTATCCACAAAATCACCATCATTGGTTAAAAATTTTTATATGTAAATCTATGTAAATTAGAGTAAAGCCTGAAGAAGATCTAATTGAAAACAGCAATATTGTTCGCTTATATGGTCTTGTTCTAATACTGTTAGATTGTAGCTGTTGTAGTTGGAGATTCAGAGATATGCTTGCTTCATATCAACGTCTGCACTGAAGATGTATTGTCTAGAGAGAGACAGTGGAAGCTTTTCACAGTTAAACCACCCAGCTGAAAGAACACAGCCACATCAAAGGCATCCACATGAGCCACATATCTTCTCTATTATTTCAACAGTCTTATGCAGAAATAATGAATAGCTCAGTAGCGAAGTGAAGGAAGTCGAAAGCCAGCAACTGTTAGGTTATATCTTAACTGATTAAATAGTGACACTCTAATCATACAAATTCAAATCTAACAACTTAATTTCATCAATAGATAATGTGTATGAACTACTGACGATAGGCCGAATGTGGACTATTTTTTGAGGAACATTTTTATTTTAAAAAAGTACATTACTTCATATTTCCTTTCTGAATTGATTGATTTTTCTGTTCAGTACACGAAGATGAATTTTTTCCGCCTTCTTTACCCTTCTAGGTTCCAGAATCTGTAGCCGCTGTAGCCTGGATGGTCATTATGGGTGATGGTTTGCACAATTTTACGGATGGAATGGCTATCGGTTTGTATCAAAACTTTTGCATATATGCTTCTTTTGCTATAAAAATGAAGTTTAATTTTAAACGCTATTTGCAGCGTATTTATTATTTCCTGACTTAATATATAGTAATTAGAAGTCAGTGTGTGCACGGAACTTCATAATAAACGGTGAATGATTACAAGATTTCATCATGAGCTAACATCGGTTAGAGAACCATTGGAAAACCTGCAGGGAGTACTGCACAATTGTTTCGTCCTAGTTTGGGACTCCTCACAGTACGCACCCACCAACGGGGTTCGAAGCCACTGAATGCATTTGCAGCAGTTAGGGTTTAATGGATTCAGATGAATGACAGACAGGCACATGAGTGAAAACCGAAAGGGAAACGATGAGTTTGATATGTGTCTAAGGGTGACATGAAAGAGACCACTTTAGGAGAAAATGAGAGTTTATGCGCAATGGTGGAGCTGTCCAAAAAGACTGCAAAAAACAGAATCAAATGGAGGTGTACTACTGATGCCGTACTTTCCACTTGGGAAGCAAGGAAATACTTGTAATTGTAAATTTTATTCCTTTACGTTCCTAGTGTGGAACATAGGGTTTCAAGCTAGAGGTTTGAAGTTTCAGTAGCAGTGGTGTTATATATGGAGTGGAGTTACTAGCCTCATGCCCAACCTTCCCCCTCCAGCAGTTTTATTACTGGACTGGTGAGGTAAAGAAGTGCGTCTGTGACCAGGGATCGAACTCCGGGCCACTTGTGTGGTCGGCAAGCATTCTAATGCTGTGCCACCGACGCACAGCCGTGTAATTGTACTCAATAATTACAACTAACGGTTAAACCGATATACCTAAAAGCGGTTGGTAATTTCAACATCTCGTAATCGTATCCAAAGAGGGATAGAAAACTTAGTGAATGAAGATTTTGTCTGTCTAGCTGAGGAAACAAAGTAAACCCGAAAGACGAATTTTGTTCGTTTCGGAATCTACATTAAAATTAAACCAAATCACACCAAAACTCATATAAATGTCAGTCTCCAGTTCATTGGATATCGTGCATTTTTAATAGGAAGTCGTGGCAAGAACGGTTCACCACATTAAGGTGAATTGGACGCTCGTCGGCCGCAGTGATTGTACGTTAAATCTAGACCTAGAATTGATAAGAATTAGGGTTCATAGACGGGGCATCGGTGGTACAGAGGTAGAACTGTCCCCAACCACGCCACAGATGGTCCGGAGTTCAATCCCCGGCTACAGACGCACTCCTTTACCTCGCTAAGCCAGTAGTAAGACTGATAAAGAGGAAAGGTTCGGCTGGGCATGAGGTTAACAAACCCATCGCACAACAATAAGTACCAGTGCTACAGAAACTTCAAGCCTCTAGCTTAAAGGTGCCCTATGTTCCACACTGGGAATATAAAGGAATAAAAAAAGCATTCACAGATAACTGAAAAGCTGACCAAGTCATTGGAGGTCCTGAGTTTGATCTCTGGTTGGCTGCTGGGTGCATACTGCTGTGGAGTCCTAAACTATGAGGAAAGAGTGCTCCTTGATTTGATTTAGTGATTCTAACTTATGTGACTCCTTGACATAATCTACATTCAAATTGATCCAAATCCCCAACAGAATTTATAATCGAAACCTGAGTCAACCATTGAGTTACTTTTTAAGTTTCAAAGAAATTAAACTACTCGTAAAACAAAACTCGTAAAAACAAAACTAATCCTTAAAAACCAACCACTTAAAATTAATCTAACGCTCCCTAGTGACTCGCTAACGGGCGGACTTTCTTGGAGTTCTAGTGAGAAGTCCTGACCAGTGAGGTCCATCCAGTCAAGTGTGAGGATGGATGTCCCACCGACGACAATGGTTGCGGTCACGCTAAATTATGAGTTGGTAGAAGTTAGAATTCATGGACTGATCACTGAGTCGAAACCCAGTGGGTGAATGGTATACGAGCCAGCTTGCCTTGTAACCAGAAGGTCCTGGGTGCGTACTGCCGATGATTCCCAAACTAGGATGAAACAGCTGTCCAGTTCTCGGTGGCTTTCATTGGTTCTCTAAGTGATATCAGTCCGTCATCAATTCGTAATAAACAAATGTAATCACTACAGACCAATTATAGAAAGTACTAACCACAAGAAAGCTCTAGAAATAATAAAGCAGTAAATACATGGAAAGCACAATACGCGTTACTTCCAAATAAGTAACTTATGTACTGCTGAAACTCAAAACTTACATTCGAAAAGATTTTTCCATCACACTGTGAATTACTTAGTCATTTAACTATTATAAACACGTTTCATTTATATATATATATATATATATATACAAAGATTTTATATGCTTCTTCATTATCTGTAGTCATAGAATACGTATTTTTACACAGATAACTAGGAATTTAACGCAGTGAAACATGTGCACGCTATGGATATAAATATATGTATACTTCAACTTAAAATTTATACTACTAATACATAAATCCAGTGTTACAAAGGGTCAGATCTTCTTCAAACCTCTTAGTAGACTGGTCAACTTTAACTTTACATATCTAATTTTCTAGTGGTTGTTTGTAGAGGATTTGACTGATTTCAAGGCGCATTTTGTCACGAATCGATAACAGTTAGGGAACAATTAAAAACCAGGGAAAATGGGACGACCGTTTCGTCCCATTTAAGGACTCTTCAGCCTTAAGCATACATAGTGCCATCTTGGTTCGAACGTATGAATTTCAAGTTAACAGACGAGCGCGTTATCATTAAACTACTTGATTTCTATCCCATACCTCGTGAATTATAATTTTTGTCAGTTTGTGACATCACAGCACTGCCAGACAATATCATCTGCAAGTATTTGTCGTCACATCCAGCTTGGTAAATTTGGTGAAATTCCAGCTGTTTAGGTAATGTATGCATTCTGAAATCTTAACTTTTGTTCATTTTGCTACAAATTAAGGTCAGATGATGTTTTGATGTTTTTTTTGGTATCTTGGTTTACAGGTGCTGCATTTGCCCAAAGTATTTCTGGTGGCCTCAGTACAAGTGTTGCAGTCTTTTGTCATGAATTACCGCATGAATTAGGTAGGTGAATTTCAACTAATGCTTGTTTGATAATGCATTCTTTGCCTAAATCTGAACATTAAGTAATAATAATAATCCACTCCATCTACTGTCCCCTGGTACCAAGTTAGGGTCAACTGACTTTGGCAACTTAGGTATTGACATTTTACAAGGGGAGAATCTTGTTAACTTAGAGTATGCAGATGATATTGTTCTCCTGGGTGAAGATGCTGACAAAATGCAAAGTCTTCTATATATCTTAGGCACAAGTCTGCGAATGTATGGACTGCTGTTCGCCCCTATCATCAGATGTAAGATGACGCCTTGCAGGATAGATCTGAACCAGCTTCAGGTTGAAAGGTGGGAAACCCTAGTGAACTGATTTCTGACGAAATCTCAGCATGAATTCATAAAGGCTCGTGTAACATTCGCCAACTTAATTCCTCTCTGGAGTAGACGTGATATCCAGCTGTGGATCAAAGGACGTGTATACTGAGCAGCAACTCGCTATCCTTCTATATGGCTGCAACACACGGGCAATGAACTTGAATGATATCAAAAGTTTTGACTAGAGATGCTTGCATTCCATCTCTCGTATTAAGTGATATTATACGGCGAGGAGTGTTTAGATCAGGTGAACAGTGTTAGGTAGGAAAGTGGAGTTAACCGACAAGGTTGTGAAGTTACATCGATTACCATGCCTAGGATACGTATTACTGGCTATGTGGAGCCCTGAAGATACCAAGAACCAATGAATTGAGACCATTCTCAGCGGTGCAGATACATCCACTGTTTGTTGTCTTCCAGGCCCATAAAATGACCAGATTTCTGCTCAGTATCATTTTTCCAAATTTTCCTTCTCTTTTCTCTGCCTTTTTGGGCTACATGGAGTGTGGTAATTAGAAGTACTGGACTTGTGTGCAAATTTCTATGTGAAAACTTAATCAGTCAGTGAAACTTCGTTGGCAGCCACTTCGATTTACATTATATCACAACTAAAACTAAATTAATTAAAGTGATACAAATGTACTAAAACCATTAATATTCCTGCTTGTGGTGGACTGGATCCAGCAGCTGACCATGTGGAGTGAGAAGACAAGAATATGTTGGGCTGATCAAAAGACTCTAGAATACCTAGACTTAGAGGAAGATTTACGTCTGATGTCAAACTAATTTGAAAATCTACAGATGAAAATCAAAAATTTGCTTGAATAGGCGGTGAAGACAGAATTTCATGTGCACACAGAAAAGACAGAGGTGATGAAGATATCTGACCAACGATAACAAGCACCGACCAGTATCAACGGAAGCAATTTGAAAAAGGGTACTTCTTTTACTTATCCAAGCAGCACAGTTTCAACTGCGGAGAACACAAATCAGCATATCACAGTTCGACAGGATCAGAAAGGCAAGACAGAACTTCATTACTCTGAAATCAGTGTGGAAATGTTCTGTGCTCAGCAGAAGGAACAAAATTTGGATTTTTAACACCAATGTCAGATCAGCGTTTCTATATGGTTTAGAAACTTATCTCATGTGTCAAGATGAGCATTTCCAACAGGCTGTCGCAGACTTTTATTAACAACTGCCTTCACTCTATACCAAAGATTAGACGGCTAAGCAGAAAGGATAAGCAACACGTCACCCTAGCAACTAACCAACCAACCAACAACCTATCACTCAACAAATATGCATAGGAAAATATAGAGGGATTGGAAACACATGGAAAACACCGTCGAGCAGCAGCACCCGTCAGGCAATTGCTGTTCTATTAGTATCTATATTGAAAACAACAAGTTAATGGTGCGTTCAAGGGTGACATAGGAGGAGATGAAAGCTTACAGACAATCGTAAAACCTGATAAAGTGTACTACAGAGAACAGAGAGAGACAAATAAAGATGTGATGATGAATCCGTAGGTTCAACTCAAAACCTTAGGGAAGGGCAGTTGTACAGCTCAATGGTTGCATGAAAAACGAACCGTTTAAAGCTCTCGCTTCATGGAAAATACTCATCAAGACATTTGAGAGAAAAAAAGAAATTAAACAAAGATATCCTTTCAGTGATTATATTCTCTGTAGCTGTACAAATACAATTTATGCAGACTTTTTCGCGTCAGGGCACTTTAATGTTACCTTTTAATGTTTAGATTGCTCAATGCAGATTCTGAATGATGTTCAGTTTACAGTGTCATAGTTTTGATTGTCTTTCAAATATTCTATATGATAAAGATTTAGAGCTGTTTCTGGTGAATATTATTCGTATATCAATCAGTTCACTTCAAATCTTGATATTACTGTCTGTTGTCATTATTCACTTAGGTTCCAAGTGGAACATAAGGTTTCAAAGGAATATTTCCATTTCAATCGGTTCTTTGAGGTCTTTCTAAGCTGTCTCCAAGGCTGTCCAAAAGCCTTCATCTCTTTCTAACACAATCTCCTCCAGGTCACACTCAGAAGACCTACTTGTCGTTTTCCATTCGGGTTTCACTCACGGTGCAGGCGCTTGATGTCACTCAGCGGTCTTCATAGAGTGTGTAAGATCCATATCCATTTCCTTCAGGATAATTTTGGTCACTAGGTTCTTAGTTGATTCGTTACAGAGTTCCCTGTTGCTGCCACCTTCTGGCCATAAGCTCCTCAGTACAGGTCACTGGCTGCTGTTGATGAAAGTCTCCTGCCTGTTGGAAATGTCTTCAGTGATGTCGTCACCTGTGAGGGTTGTAGTCGAGATAATACTGCCTAGATATGTGACTTCCATCAAATTTCCCCCATTGATGGTGACTGGTGCTTGTTGCTGCTGTTAGGTAGCTTCATCGCTACTAGCTTGTCTATGTTTATTTGAAGTCCTGTCTTTACTACGTCTTCTGCCAACTTGTTGGCTTTTACCCGTTAGTCTTCGAGTTTAGGTGACGTTAAACATAAATCATCCACACACGAAATACAGATCTTCTAGAATATTGCAGTCGATTCAATGTGTATCTATCTTCTTGATCTCCACAGTCTTCAGCATGATCTACTCCACCATAGTCAGGCAAATCATCGGTGGTAGTTGGTAGCCTTATCTTACCCCAGTCTTCACTTGAAAGGCTTAGATGAGCTCCCCATTTTGAATCATTCCTGTATATTGATAAACGTATAACTAATGTCATAATGTGAATCACTGATGGTCTCACACAGATCATTCATGAAAAGATTTAAATTCTGTCGTCAAATAACAACGGATTCCGTAAATAGATGCTAGTGAGAGTATCAAAGTTAGCCTTCCGTTAGCTGTTATTGTTGCAAAGGCTTATTACTGAAACTGAAGTGAAAATCTCACTAGTGGCAGAATTCATACTGCCGGTCTCCAAATTATCAGCCCAGTACTGAGCTGCCAAACTGATTCAAACTGTTTTCTTTGTGAAAATTTGTTGATCACTATTATTCTTCCCCAGTATCTTTCAAAGTCATTTGTTGGTCCTCTTCTAGCCTGTTCAACAGACGCGTTCACATGTCAACAAACGTTGAGGACTGTAATCCACAGATGAAATTTTTTACTTTAAATTGGTCATCTGTTAGAGATTTTAGCTTGAATCAATCACAGGTACTGTTAACTACATGCTAGCTGTGTGTGAATATCGCCCTACCATGTATAAACAACATCTCAGAAATCACGTTGCACACAAACAAACAAAATCACTTCACTCAGCTAACCCTGTGTCAACCAAAAGAACCATTAGCGAAAGAAGATAAAACCAACATCATCTGCAAAATAAATTGTAACAACTGCGAAAAACACTACATTCGTCAAAGTGGACGTACCCTTCGTCTCCGTATCCATGATCATAAACTAGCCATCAAAAGACATGATATCCACTCCCTCATATCACTCACTACATACAGACAACCACGGACATCATTTTGACTGGGGCAACCAACGTTCAAATATTAGACGGAGGAAACAAAAAGAATGCTAGAGAATTTTTGGAAGACTGGCATTCCAGTGAATCGTCAGACAATAGATACATCGAGATAGACAAAATTCACCTACCAATAAGAAGTAAAGCTCAAGTCAAGGAAACAGTCAGTTCCAATTACAAGCAGCCTAGAGGGTGTGAAAACACACAAAAACAACCAATCACGTTCACTGTCACCAGGAGAGATGACTAATAAATCTAAAAGCTCACTTCAAATTTAAGTATGCGCTGAAGATGTTGCCTAGTAAGGGGCAATGAAAGCTTCGCAAAGAAACTATCCAGCTCAGAGAACACAACTACATCAAAAATATCGTCATTTTTGTTCAGCATCAGTCCCACACAGTTATAACATATATTAAACAGCGACCAATGATCACCAAATTGATGACGAAGTGTGTGCACGAACTCATCAAATGTTACATCACTGGATTTCTGCGGCAGGATTAGATTACAAATTTTATCTACTACATCTACTCCTAGCTTCTGAATTAATCGTCTCTGTTCGCGAAACCTTCAGTGAACAGATGTTCTTATCTACGAAAGCATGTGTCGAACATTAAGTTGACGTCTAGGTTGTAAAGAAATTCTGATATAGGGCTACCGAAGTTGTTGTTGTTGTCTGGAGATGAATCACTTGGGGATAATATGTGCAAACCAGCCAGCGACTCCCTCATCTTAAGCTGTAGCTCCATTAATTTCTCCAACCATTTTGGGTCGATTCGCATCATCATTCACTCGTTGACAACTTTACATTTTGCAGAAGTTCAGTTGAATAGGAAAACCTGGCTAGTGACAGACGCGGCCATCACGAATGTCGCTTGTCTATACTAACAATGTATACAACTGCTGCCTGGTTTCCATATCTGCTATTTCATCGAGAACACGCAAATATTTGGGATGGAAAAGTAAAATTTCAGAAAGGAAATAAAGAAAACAAAGAATGCATACATACATTAGCGTCGGTGGCATAGCGGTTAGGACGCTCGCTGACCATGCACATGGTCCGGGTTTCGATTCCCGGCCGATGCACTCCTTTACCTCGCTAAGCCAAAAATATAAAAATAGCTGGTGTAGAGGAAAGGTCGGGCATGAGGCTAGCAACCCCATCCTGTAAAAATAAACACTGCTACAGAAACTTCAAGCCTCTAGTTTGAAGCCCTATGTTCCACTGGGAACGTGAAGGAATATTATATATATATACATATATATATATATATATGAGCCAGTGACGCAGGCGATCCATTACTTACATCTCTACCTATCTATGAGACAAATGACTGCTTTATTTTCAGAATGGAAATCCGTCACTATATCATATTAGTTGCCCATCTAAGTTCTCTGATGACAGTCCTTATCACAATGAATTAGGAGAGGTGCAATTTGTTCGTTGATGATGAGACTGATTACCTGAGGAAGAAAGCCTCATGTTGACAGACTTTTATTTATGTGATGCGTGTTGATTAAAGCTGAATTAAAACTCTAGATCGCATTAGGAAATTGATATCCACAAATATAGATGCCTTAACCTCACCGTTTTGAAACTGAGGAATCCTTTGGATGTCTAAGATGTAACTCCTCTAAATGATATTTATAGAATATTAAATTTTCATTTTTATTCTCATGTGTTTTTTCTACTCTATAATACTTAAAATAAATCATTATTATTTAGGTGATTTCGCTGTTCTCCTGAAAACTGGTATGCGAATCAAAGAGGCAATGTTTTTCAATATTGTCTCATCAATACTTTGTTTATTTGGTATGTTAGTTGGTATTGCAGTTGGTAATATTGAATCAGCAAGCTACTGGATATTTGCTATTACTGCTGGAACATTTATATACATTGCACTTGTTGATATGGTGAGTTATAGAAATGATTATATTATTGTTGTTATTATTGTTTCATTTAATTCCTAGAGGAACATAAGGCTTCAGCTGCACGTTTCCATTTCGTTCGGTTCTCCACCAACATTTTCACCAGACTCCATGTCTACTCACATGCTTTCATCTCCTCTTCACATGACCTCCTCCACATCACCCTCGCACTGATGGCCAATTAACTCGCCGCTTTCCTTTCAGTTGGGTGCCACTCGAGCGATGGCCTCGAGTGTGATGGATGTCACTTGATGGTTTATTTTCTCAGAGTATGGCCAATCCAATCCACCTCCATTTCTTCCTGCATATTTGTTGCACAACTGGTTCCTGCAGTGTTGGTTCTCTCATTGACAGAGATCCCTTCATGTTGATGAACTTTTCTGGCCGGCCATCTGATCTTGAGCGAAGCATTGAGCGAAGACAGCTGTTGATGAAGGTCTGTAGTTTGTTCAAGTTGCCCTTCATGACGCGCCAAGTCTCTGATCCATATAGTAAGTAGCACTGACGTCACATTGGAGTTGGAAATCCGGATCTTGTTTTTCATTCTGAGTGCTGTTGACCTCCACGCAGACTTGAGAAAAATGAAAGCCTGCCTTGCTTTCCCGATCCTCGCTGCTTTGATATCCTCATCGGTTCCGTCCGCCTGTAGTTGAGACGATGCTTCCCAGGTAGGTAGGTAGGAAAGTGAGGGGGTTTGCTTCTTTCAGATTTTTCCCATCTGTGCTAATTGTTGTCTGTTGCTGTTGCTGCTGGCCACACATACTTCTGTTTTCTCGATGTTCACTTGTGGATGTTCTTCTGTGGATGCTTCTTCTGCCAACTTGTTGCTTTTCACTTGCATATCTTCCAGTTTGTTGGAAATCAGACATATATCATCATCGGTGAAGTCCAGATCCTCCAAGTAGAGTTAATTATTCCATTTAATTTTAACAAAGTATTATTGAACTCTTTAGTTGTTTATGTTTATAATGCTTTTATGTTGAGTATCATTTGAACAGAAGTTTACTCAAACAATGATAATAAAGCTTTAAAATATTATCATTATTTTCTAGGGTTTCAACAGCATTTGTCCATTTCAATCTGTTCTCTTCAAGTCTTTTATAGTTAGCTGCATGACTACCCATAAACTTTCGTCTCCTCCTAATCTGACCTCCTCCTTCAAGTTACCCTTGGACTCACCTCCGACTGGTAGCTTTTCATTAGATTCCTACCAGAGGGATAGTGTTACGTTTGATGTCACTTGAAAACCACCTCAGCGACTGTTCAATCCACCTACATCTCCTTCTGTCTATTTATCAGATAACAGGATTTTGGGAGGGTTCGTTGCCAGAGATCATTGTTGCTTATCCTTTCTGTCTGGTCATCTGATCTCCAGTATCGAGACATCGAATGCAGCTACTGATGAAAGTCTATAAGAGCCTTCTGGAAATGCTCTTGGTGACACGCCTTCTCTCAGAATCGTATAGAAGCACTGATTTGAAATTAGTATTGAAAATCTTAGTCTTGTTCCTTACTTTTAGTGTGGTAGATTTTCAAACTGACTTCAGATTAATGAAGGTCAGTCTTATTTTTTCCAGTCCTTGCTATGACACCCTTATCTGTGCCGCCAGTGGTTGAAACGATGCTGGGTAAATAACTAAAAGAGGTAACTTTCTCCAGATTTTTCTTGCCGACGAAGATTAATGCTTTTTGTTGGTTAGGTGTCTTCAACAGCCATGTCTTCTCTATATTCACATGTCCTAAACCAGGAGAAAGTGAGAAGGTTGAGCATTGAGCTAGCCACCTTTCTCCGAATAATCAATCTAATCGCTGATTAAACTTCAAAGTACAGAAAAAAATTATATAAAAATAAACTGATTATTTACCGGAATCGGAGAGGACAAAATAATGCCCTCTGGTGAAAGCCTTCAGGGAGCCAGTCAGCCTACACGTCTTCATTCACTCGAAGCAAAAGTAAGCAAGAGAGGCATAGAATGTTCACAAAATTTTTGAAGCTTTAAATTAATATTCAAGTATTGGTTTTGCAGGGATTTTGTTTGATTGCATGGAGGATTTCATTATGAGCTGACATCAGTTAGAGAACCACTGGAAAACCTGGGAGTACTGTACAGCTGTTTCGTCCTAGTTTGGGACTCTTCATCAGGTTTTCCAGTGGTTCTCTAACTGATGTCAGCTCATGATGAAATCCTCCATGCAAGTTAAATCAATATGTTTAAAATTTTGAATGGTCAGTTAAGCTGCAAAACTTTTGTTTTGATTGTTTTAAAACTTGCAAGTTAACGTCTTCAAAAAGTCTGATGATACCTCAAATAACATTGTTATTGCACTAAACTATGTGATGCTTATTCGAATCTCCAAAGGCATATAACAGTACCTTCAAAGTCCGAGACACTGCTTGCTAATAAATGCCAACAAGCATGAGAATTTAACTTAAGGGTTTCCTACTGGTTGCATCCAACCATATAACATCGGTTTAAGGTGCTCTCAGATGGCGAGACACTTAGCTTGGTGACCACAGTTCATACTTGACTGGCAGTATTCACCTGACGCCAACACTGAGGACAAACACATGACATCAGTTGCTACCTAGTGTCCATTCCAATTATCCCTCACCGTCCCACAGGAGGTCAATCACGAGCCCGAATAACTCAGTAATAAAGTCTCTGACTGCAGCACTGAGTGACCTGGGTTCCAATCTCTGAGGGGACATCAGTTCCTCCTGGTTTCCAGATACTCCTTGCTGACGACTGCTAAAAAAAGGAAACATAGGTTCATGGTTTCCTATAGATTGTTTCCAACCTAGATGACAAGTACCAGCTGGAGATACCTTTAATCAACTGAACTGAGGAAATTATCAGTAGATCATAAATGTACCAGCAACCATTATGATTGATAATAAATGAATGAGATGGCTATCATGGTTATGCACTTCTAAATAGTTCCAAACTAGGTCGAAACAGCTGTCCAATACTTCCTGGTTTTCCATAGTTCCCCCACTGACGTCACTTCCTGATCAAGTGTGAAGAGTAGTTCATTTGCCTTTGCACAAATGAAGTCATTTCTTGAGATCAAGATTCATATACCTTTTTATACATAGTACGAGTCGAATATCAAGTTCACTGTAATATCATTTTTATATAACAGTCGAACTTTTGGCCTTTATAAAACTTATTATCAGTAAAATTGAACTGCCATCACTAAATGATTAGCATATTCTGTTTTTGTATTCTAATTTATTTACTCAGCTGACCAAATTAATCTTCATACTGAACAGCTGTTTCGTCTTAGTTTTAGGACTCTTCAGCGGTACGTACCCACCACCAGGGTTCAAACCCAGGACCTTCTGGTTACAAGGCGAGCTACATCGGAGACCATTAAGCCACTGCGACCCGATTCAATGGCCATTCTATGAATTCTAACTTCTGCCAATTAAATGATAAAGTGCGACAGCTGAAGAGTTCCAAAACTAGGACGAAACAGCTGTCCAGTACTACTCCCATGTTTTCCAATAGTTCTCTAACCGATGTCAGCTCATGATGAAATCCTGTAGCCAATCCATCAAATCTCTACAAACTAATACTTGAATAATCTTCGTACTTTTAACAATTGTATAGTTTCATATTTACATGAATTAATTATGTCATATGACGTGAGTATTCCTATCTAAACGTGTATTATGATGTAGATTGTCACTGTCAACTATATTCAGCAGTAAATAAATGCCATAATCAGATGATTGGCCCTAATATCACCCAAGTGACGAAATCTGCCAATCAGAGTACGCTATTGTGAAGCCCACATACCACTATAAGTGACTTACTAGGCGTTCTCTAATTGGTAGATTTTACTATATCGAGTTCAAGGTCAATGAAGTTATCATAGCCACTGCTAGAATCCATTTTTAAGCCTGTGATTGACCTAATTTTTAACTTAACTATCAGGTTATTAGCATACTCTGTTACACTGTGTTTTTCAGTTATGAATTGAAATCAACAGAAAATGGCTTCTGGTTAGTTGTGAAACAGAGAAGACAAGGGTCAGGCAACAGATCGTTTATTGAGAAAATCAACAGATATTTATATTTTACGAGTTGATCACGGACTGATATCAGTTAGAGAACCACTGAAAACCAGGGAGTACCGGACAGCTGCTATTTCATCCTAGTTTGGGAATCATCGGGAGTACGCACCCACTGGGATTCGAACCCAGGACCTTCCGGTTACAAGGCAAGCTGGCTCGTATACCATTCAGCCACTGGGACCCGATTCAATGGCCAGTGAGGTCCAATTAGATGTCACGTGTGTGGATGGATGTCCCACCAACGACAATGGTTGGGGTCGCGCTAAAATCACGAATTGGTAGAAGTTAGAATTCATGAGCCATTGGATCGGGTCCCAGTGGCTGAATGGTATACGAGCCAGCTTGCCTTGTAACCGGAAGGTCCTGGGTTCGAATCCCAGTGGGTGCGTACTCCCGATGATTCCCAAACTAGGATGAAACAGCAGCTGTCCGGTACTCCTTGCTTTTCAATGGTTCTCTAACTGATATCAGTCCGTGATCAACTCGTAAAACATAACTAATCCTTACAAACCAAACTATAGAAAGATATTTATATATTTTTATGTACATTATTATTCGTTAGCAGGGAAACAGCTTCTTCTGATTGGTTGTTTTCTTGCTCAAGGTTATTCTGTCATCTCTTCGTTGCCGTTTCTGCTAATCGTATCCACCCATGCAAAGTTTGCTGTGAGTGGTTGTTGAGTTCCTCAAGGTTATGCTTTGTTCGTGTTTCTTCTCATGACCAAGATATGGGACGTGAACGTTGACGTCAGTTGTTGTCTACAATTTTGTCTTGTAGACAGCTCTCACTGCAATACTATGATGGTTTGTCACCTTCAATATGAAAAGCAGTCAAGCTTAACTACCAACGAAATTAAGTTGAACAGGCAATCAGATAGTTATTCTTTCAAAGTGGAGAAGGCTTTTAGAAGGAATTCCAAATAAAAATGTCAATATTTTAGTACAAGTGATACGGCAACTGGTTGAACCAGTGACAGTTATGTCAACGAGTGGAATGCATATTCCCAGTTATCGTTATGAAGATATATTCACTACAAAGTGAAGCATTTCCTTGGAGTTTATCGGTCTAATAACTAGGACTCATACAGGTTCAGTAGAATAGTCTCGGGGACATTTGTGAAAATTGGAAAGATTGATAAAAAGAAAATTCTGAAAATTCCATACCTGTACCAAAAAACTACGGTGTGGAATCAAGCTGTAATAAAAAAAAATAAGGTAAAAAAATGACTCATTAGCAATCAATCGGTGGTATATAGCGACTTGTAATCATAATTTTCTTTTTTTTGTCTTTTTCTATATTTTAATAAACTCAACAACTTTAGCTGCCGGAACTCAATACAGTAGAGTTGAGACCAGGTCAAACACGTATTGGACAACTAGCTATACAAGTGGCTGGATTGACAACTGGAGTTGGTATTATGCTGGTCATAGCGTTATTTGAAGATTCTATACGTGTATTTGTTGACTAGACAAAAACAAACAAACAAACAAGAAAAAAACACAATATTGACGATAGCATTTACAATGAAAGCCTTCTTTACCCTCTGTGTCTCTCGCTCCACATGTTAACGATAACAGATTGGAAACTACTACCCTCAAGCATTGAACTGATTTGTCTAGTTAGCCCATATTTTATTCTATTTTCAATTTCCCACACTTCATCTGGTGATTGTTATTATCTGCATCCATGTTCTTCTTAACATATCGAAATTAAGAAGACCATTAACTTTATCTACTCTGGCAAATACAGTCGTCAACATGTTAACAATAACGAAAATTACATAGCTGAAATAATAATATATGTATACCCTTCATCTTCTCACTCTTTCTGTATCCTTCTGTTCTTTTTGTGCTTTGAATATACTTATAACACTTTTATAAGCTGTATTTTCTACATTCTCAAGTATATATATATATATATGTGTTCGAATGAAGTTCAGGTTTTTTCTACATTCCTTTGTGTTCTGAGGGAAACATAGTGCTTCAGGGATCAGCTGTGAAGTTTCTTGTAGCTGTAGTGTTGTTTCTCCGAGGGGTGGGCTTGCTAGCCTCACGTTCTTAACCTTCTCTGTTTATCGGATTTACTACCGGCTAGAAGAGACTTGTTGGTGCTTCGATGACTGGGAATCCAACATGAACCACCTAGGTGTGGTAGACGACTGAACTACCGACGTAAAAAATTCACATTTAACTTAAAAATTACCATTGAGTATTATAAAGGAAAAGACGTTCAGCGAAGAGTTACTCTTTTCGCCAATATCATTCTCAAGCTTTACAGTCGCATATATACACAGTTAATTCTCTTAAGAACAAAATGAATATTCCAAAGATTTGTCGTTAGAACTATAAATTTTAGTTAACAAATTAAGTAATGTAGAAAGTGTTCAATTGGATAGAAACCCGTCATTTGATTGAACCGAAGTGCTTAGTCTCAGGTTGACATGTCTGTCGGCTTCTTGTGCGCAGGCTTCGACGATGTCTGAGAATGTAATCAGATGTTAATTGGTGGATGGTGACTAGCAGTGGAATCCACCAGGGTGCTCATTTCGTCCTATTTGGGACCAGTCAACTGGCGTTTGAAACTGAGCACTGGGTCGAGTTTCGGTGAGAAAATCATCACTCACTACGGAATGCAGATAAATCCGGATGACGAGTCCAAAATGGGCCGAAATGCACAGCGTGGATTCCACTGCTAGTCACCTCCCACCAATTAACTTCTATAATAAAATGATTAGAAGTGTAAGTTTCAGATAACAAATTTAGTCAACTTGTTAGAAACTACAATAAGATTATATAAGCAAGTTGAGGCACGTAATCTAATTCACGACGAAGTTGAATAGAGCTCAGATTAAAATTAAAACTGAATAAAATTCAAGTTAACAACAGTGGTAATAAGGCGTAAAGATTTAATAAGTGTTGGGGTAGGAAAATATTATACACTTCAGAAACAAACAAGCAAGAAAAAAGACGAGACAGAAAATGCGTATTTGGTGTTAAGATAGGTCAGGTCCATTATAGATTCAATGATCGAACAAACTTCTTTTGCATGCAGAGTTGAGATTTTAATGTGTGAATTGCTGTTGCTTTTGTTCAATTTTAATTTTATCTGAGCTCTACTCAACTCCGTCGTCAATTAGATTATGTCAACCGACTTGCTTATTTAATCTTTCTTCAGTTTCTAAACAGTTAACGAAAGTTATTATCTAAAATTAACAATCCTAATGAAAAATTTTGGAAATCTTCATTTCTAAAGTATTTGTTTTTGTAGGGATTTTATTTGATTGGTTGGAGGATTTCGTCATAAGCTGACATCAGTTAGACAACCATTGGGACTATTCATCAGTACGCACCCACCACAGGAGGTTCAAACCCAGAGCCTTCTGGTTAGAAGGCATGCTGGTTCGTGGACCATTAGGCCACTGGGATCCGATCCAATGGCCCATGAATTCTAATTTCTGCCAGTTCATGATGTAGCGCGACCACTTCGTAATGTCTTCCTCGAAGAGATGCTGCCTCACCTTCAACCTGCTACACCCTACTGGTCACACCGCTAGAACCCCAGGTTAACTGCCTGAATAGGGCCAGTCACTAGTGAGCATCAGATTAATTTTCAAGTATTGGTTTTGTAAGGATTTTGTTTAATTGTTTGGAGATGGGTGCATACTTCTGAAAAACTCCGAGTTAGAACGAAACAGCTGTCCAGTACTCCCAGGTTTTCCAATGGTTCTCCAAATGATGCTGTCAGCTGATAATGAAATCCTTCAACCAACTATTCATTTTGTTGCTAAGACAATTAACTATGTATACAGCTTGACAATGATATCGCTGAAAAGAGTAACTCTTCGCAGAACGCCTTTTCTTTTATATGTTCAAATTTAATAGTTCGGAAACATTTCAGCATTTGGGTATGCATGATATTCATTATCGACGGCCTCCTCAGTGGCGTATGTCCGATGTATCTCCATTTTCTCTGTCATATCTGTTGAGCAATCAGTCGGCTGTCGCCCGTTGGTTTATTCCCAGACAGAGTTTCTTGTTGCTAATTGCTTCTGGTCGGCTGGCTGGCCATTTGATCTTCGATATGGAGCCAGTACAGGAGGCAGCTGTTGCAACCTGTTGGAAATCGTCTTGGTGACACGCCGACCAATTTTCTGAAGCATATAGAAGGACTGGATGAATCAGCATCTGTGTTGTAAATCCCAGTCTTATTGTTTATGCTGAGGCGGATTGCAGATTTCCAAATTGGTTTCAGGTTGAGGCTTCTAAATACCAAATACTTCAAACAGCAGAAGTCATTGCAACTCTCCTAAAACAACATAAGATGTGTGTGGAGAAGAAGTAGTTCCAGTCAATATTACTACCCTAGCCTAATCTGGAATCTATAAATTCATATATGTCTCTTAATTTATTTTATATTTAGTATAGTGATATAGTGAGGCGTATTATCACTTACCGATGCTTTTGAAGCGTAACCTTTTAATTTCATTCATAACAATAAGTCCTTAGTTATTCTGAAAGTAAAACTGTAGAACCTCTCAAAGAAGAAGTCATCGAAAAGAATATTCTTTTACTCACTAATTGGTCTCCTCAAAACTCAAAGAATTAGAAAATTTAAGCAGAACACTACTTAAATCTTTATCAGTAGTTTAGATTTGAATCGCTAAAATAATTCCAATAGACAAAACGTTTGAAGACTGTAAGAAAAAAGATTCCGCTGTTCATAGAAGACACGAATTCACTATTGTAGCTCATAAAATTCCTTATAGCCTCTGTAAAGGAATACTCGCTTGGGAAATCCCTCTTCAGCTATCGAAACACAATATTTATGCTTATTTGGATGTTTCACCTGTGTAATTTTTATCCACTAATCCCCGACATTGTTTATCATTGTTCTGACGTTTACAAATCACACAGTGACTTAATTCTTACGATTTGTCTTTTTCCTAGTTGAATGTCTAGTTTTAATGCTAGTCTTTATCAATATATGTTTAAAATAAGATGGGAAATCTGGAGAATAATTCAGCTATAGCACTCACTACATGCACTTACAACAAACAAGCATACAATAGGATGGATGCGATAAGATAAGAGATTTAAAATCTAATGTAACAGGTTGGAGGGAGAGATCGATAACCGACTGAAGCTCTATTTATCGAATCATCTGCACACATATGAAACAGGAATGATTCAACACCTGTCCACTCAGACATCTGGAGAATTCTACTACCCCTACGACGAATAGGAAAGAATAAAGACAACTATAAAACGAAAGTTTCGAAGCAATGCAGTTATAGTTGGTATGATTATGAATAGCCATAAACTGTGTTTGAAACGTCAATATTTAGTAAATAATATTGTTTTACTGTGTGATATACTTAATAAACAAATCAATAAGGAACTTCTATTTGGTCTTGTGGGATACATTGATAACGTGTTGTTTTGCAATGTGACTTTGTTTGAGTGAATCAAGATTATTCTGACATTGGAGTGTCTGAGAGAATTTCTACTGTGCGATTCTTGTGGACAGAGTTTTTGGTCTGACCTTGTTGGGAATATTCTACATGATTCTAGGGTACTACTTACACTTGAATTTTGTTCTTTAGTACTAGAACGTTTTCTGAGCTCTATTCAACTGCGTCGTGAATTAGATTACGTCCATCAACTTGCTTATTAGATCTCACTTTAGTTTTGAACCAATTAACCAAATGTGTTATCTAAGACTTACAATTCTAATCATTTTATTTAAGAAGTTAATTGGTGGATGGTGACTAGCAGTGGAATCCAGGGTGCGCATTTCGTCCTATTTTTGACTCGTCATCCGGACATACCTGCAATACCCAGTGAGTGATGATGTCCTCACTGAGACTCGACCCAGTGCCCAGTTTCAAATGCCAGATGAAAAGTCCCGAATAGGACGAATCCTGGATTCCACTGCTAGTCACCATCCACCAATTAACTTCTAATTACATGCTCAGACATCGTCGAAGCCTGTGCACAAGAAGCCGATAGACATGTCAACCTGAGACCGAGCACTTCGGTCCAATCAATTGACGGGAAAATTAAATTAAATTTTACTTTAGTTTCTATCCGATTAACGCTTTCTGCATTACATAATTTGTTGAATAAAATTTATAGTTCAAATGACAAATCTTTTGAATATTCATTTTGTTGCTAAGATCATTAAGGGAATTAAGGGTATAGCACACCTACAAACAACGAACAAATCTTTGTAGTCAGAAAATTGACCAGTCTGTTTCACAGTAGTTGACTGACTGTTATGAATGGTCAGTTAAGCAAACAAATTTAGTGAAAATTACAAACAAAAGGTAGTGAAAGTAAGCAACTATAAGCAATCTCAGCTGCCTTTGTTCCTTATTGAAAATGAAACTAGCCAGAAAAGATAAGTAACAAGAAACTTTGATGTCACGGAAAAAGAAAGATGTAATATACTCTTTTTAAAACGTCTCCTCTTTATTCATTTTTTTACGGCCTGATTGGAACATAGGGCTTCAAGCTTCAAAAGCAAAGTTTCAGTAACAATGTGCTGGTGATTTAATGGTGTGAGGTTACTAGCCTCGTATCGAGCTTGAATTGCATGCGTGGCTAGAGAACATTCCACAGTTGAACCAATGACTTACTAAGCCTTATTCACCAGGTCAATATAGTCACAATAGTCTTTAAAGAAGTAATAGATATCACATCTGAACACAGAAGAAGTGCCACTGTGGTGAAAGCTGTATGCAAGACAAATCGGTAGACAGTAATTTACGTCAATGTTTACGTCCCAAATAGGGGTCATGAGAAAAAACAAGAACAAAGACTAACCCTGAAGAACTCAACAACCAATCACAACAGACTTAGCGTGGGCGGGTACGATTCGCATCTTTACCTCCGG